CTGTCCCAGTGCACTCTGAACCAGCCCATGGCAAATGGTGGGGCTGTTTCCACCCCGGGGACAGTCAATTCCAGGTGTACTGGATGCCCCTCCAAGTGAAAGCAACTTGTGGCTGGCACTCTGCTGCCAAAGGGAACGTGTTGGCGATATCAGTTGTGGCATACCACTTGGCTGTCTTTGACTCCAGTTCATATTGTAGCTCTGGCCTGTCTGGCACAACAGCACTCAGTGGCAGTGTGACTTTATTCAGACCACGACAGTCTACTGTTAGTCTCCACTCTCCATTAGATTTTTGCACTGGTCATATGGGACTGCTAAAGGGTGAGCGAGTCCTGCCGATCACCTCTTGGCTCTCCAGATGGCAAATCAGCTTATGGGTGGGAATCAGAGTCTCATCTGGTGCACTGTTGCCACCAGTGCACAGTTGTGGTATCCATCAGCATCTGCTGTTCTTCAACCTTCAGCAACCCCATGACAGAAGGGTGCTCCAAGAGACCAGGCAAGGTGGACAACTGCTCAGTTTCCTCCATCTCCAAGGCCTATGGGTACTCCTTTGGGTCATTAAAATACCCTCTCCTGAGGTAGTCTATGATGAGGATGCACACGGGCTCTGGGCCAGTCACAATGGGGTGTTTATGCCACTCATTCCCAGTTAGACTCACTTCAGTTTCCAATACAGTGAGCTTTTGGGATCCCCCTGTCACTCCTGAAATGCCGATGGGTTCCGTCCCCTTATAGCTCGATGACATTAGGGTATCCTGTGCACCAGTGTCCACCAGAGCCTTATACTCCTGTGGATCTGACATGCCAGGCCATTGAATCCACATTGTCCAATAAACCTAGTTGTCCCCTTTTTTCACCTGGCTGGAGGCAGGGCCCCTCTAATCCTGGTCATTGAATTTGTTATTCACTTTTTGTAAACAAGAATCAGAAGTCCCTTCAAGAGGATCAGAAGTGATATTAGCCCTTCTGCTCTGTCTGGGGAAGTGCCAGGTGTAAACTGGAGTGTCATCCTTCCAGGAAGAATCTCTTTTTGTGATTGCTTTTTCTTTCAGCTCACATACCCGTGCATCCAGGGTTAAGGTAGGTTTTCCATCCCACTTCCTCATGTCCTCTCCATGGTCACACAGGTAAAACACATGGTACTCCATGGTGTATAACTTCTATAGTCTCTCTTTGGAGCAGAGGAATGCCTACTAAGAGTTGAGATACGGGCCCGTACAGGTGGGGAGTGGGACATATCCTCTTTGAATCGTTGGAGCTCCCAGAACAGTTTCTCCACAGCTGAGATGCAGGCCCTTAACGAGGAAGAGACTTCCTTCATATGGCCTGAGCTGGCCAGCCAGTTCACCCACTGTTTGACCCTTGCCTTCTTCTAGGACCTTACCGCCAATGAGTTGGCATATGATGGTGGACCCCTTTGTAGAAGCTTCCACCGCAAGAATTGTGTGCATTGGACTTCATCAGGATCTGCAGATAGCTGTCTGTTATCCAGATCATTATAGATTATCTCCAACACAGCTAATTCCCTCAGGTACTGGATACCTCTCTCCATGGTGGGCCACTTGCCTGGGTGACATCTCCCTTGAAGGGGTACCTCTTCTTCACACTTGACAGAAGTCACCTCCAGAGGCTGAGGGTCTGTGTCTTTCTTCCAATCTCCTTGTCAATGCCCCCTTCCCTAGAGGGGATCCCAGTTGCCTGGTCTCCCTGCCCTCTAATTCCACACTACTGGCCTCGCTATCAGAGCATCCAGGTAACAATGTGCTCACCTGGATGGTGGCCAGAATCTTATCACACATCTCACAGCACACGCAGGGGCAGGGATCAGGCGATTTTCTCTGGTTCTGTCTCTTCCTCCTCTTCTCATGATGACCATGGTTCACTTTCATCCCTCATTGAGTGAACTGATGTTTTTGTACTTCTTATTCTATACAGGGGCAACTGGTGCTGGCACAGGTTGGTTCTCTGGTTCAGCTGCTGTGCCTATCACCAGGGACTGAGTAGCCACAGGGCCTGTTGCTGGGGATTGAGTAGCCACAGTGCCTATCACCAGGGATTGAGTAGCCACAGGACCTGTCACTGAGGCTGGGGGAGCTGCAGGACCTGTCGGTCTGTTTCCCCCCAGCCCCCTGAGGATGCTCCTCATTACCGAGCCATGTTGGCCCCGCATTGGGCACCAAAAAGGACTGTTGTTTTTTAGGGTCAGCCACAACAAAAGAACCAGGCGGCTGCTCGCTTGCCCTCCCCCCCACTGTGGGATGGGACAGAATTGAGAGAGGAAAAAAGAAGTAAAAGCCTGTGGGTCGAGGTAAGTAGAGTTTAATAGAACAACAGAAGAGAAGAAAATGAGAACAACGACAATACTAAGAAACCAAATCTATAAATCGAGTGATGCACAATGCAATTTCTCACCAGCCAGTGCCCCAGCTCAGCCCCTTCCCCAGCTGGGATCACCCCCCACCCCCAGGCAGCTCCTCCAGTTGTATACTGGGCATGAGGTCAGCGTGGTGTCCCATATCCCCTTGGCTGGTTTGGGTCACCTGTCCTGGCTGTGCCCCCTTGCAGCTCCTTGTGAAAATTAATCCTATCCTAGCTGAACCCAAGACAAGAATCATACAAACATATAGAGCGTATCAAGGATTATCACTGCTTGTTTTAGGAATTCTATTAGCTTTATCCATAGTAATATTATTAGTGCAAAGGATGACTGATTTTTTAATCCTCCTAATAGGTCACAGAATGTGTATTCTTCTAGTGTTATTGATCTTATTCTCCATCCATTATAGTGATGGAAATCTAGTTTTTAAATTAATTCCAGATACTGGTCAAGTTCGGAGTGTCTCTTCAGTAACACTGTGTTTACCCACCCCTCAGTCAACAGAAGCTCCTATACCTTGGGAAGTGTTTACCACAAACTTCCACGTGGAAGGACATGTGGAATAATACCCATACCACTTGGGAATGGTATGCACTCTAAAATGGACAATTAAAACCAAACCAGTAACTAGTTGCAATATAGAAAAGCCAGAAACACCTTGGACCACAGAAATAATTTATAGACCTCAGGAGATCTGTGTATCAACTTGCCCTGAGGTTGTCAGATCCCTCAAATATGGACTGTGCCCCAGACAGGTCATTGGGGCTATTCCCAGACAGCTCAGTAATGAAGACACAATACAGTAACGAAGGGACATCTGAGGATCTGTTACAAGTAAGTTTGAAATACCCTTATTTAAATTACTCCCAAACTGTGGAAAAATTGAAACATAAACTTTGGAATTGCACAAATGTTTACAATTGAATGAGTGTAGGTCCTGAAATACAGACAATAGTGTCAGTGGCTTAAGCTTTACCATTGTATATGTCGAAATGATACTACTAGCCTAAATGATACATGGTCTCATTTGACAAATAATGAAATCTGGAAGAACACTCAGACAATTTCCTCTTTGGGACATGCAGTCTGGATTAGTAGTGATGGGAAACGGACATCTCATCTTCCCTTGAAAGGAAAAATAATGGGTTGGACATTAGGGACATTAACCTTATATCTCTTATGGTGAAATCACCTCTGGACACAAAACTATGAGGAAAAGTAAAAAGAAGCCCAGACCCTTTGCAACATCCAAGCACTGGCACCACTGTAGGATGGGTACTAGAATCTATATTCACTCCACAAATATCCTCATTAAGAAATAGAGTGGCAATTCACAAACTTACATTACAGATGGGAACTCTGGCCACTCAGTTAGGTTTCTCAGAATTAAACACCCAATTACAAGACACCTTTAAAATGGCTTTTCCAAATAGATTGGCATTAGATCTGTTGTTATTCACCTACATGGTGTATGTGGATATTTTGATTTTAGGAATGACAGTTGTTGTATACACGTCCCCATTGTCCCTGGGAATTTAGAGACTCAACTAGACAAAATTTGTCAAGTTGCAAAAGCTAGTCATGAATTGCCTGCTGGACTACAAGGAGGATGGTTAAACAAGCCATTACATGGACTGGGATTTTCCTTAACTAGCTGCTTGGAAGGATTACTCCAAAGTATCACATTAATTGTTGTGATTCTAATAATTCTGTGTATTATTTTCATTTCTTAATATTGTTTTAAGTGATTGATATATGATTGTGCTGAGAAATTATTGTGAGATCTCTGAGCCTTTTTGAAAGCCTCATTGTCTTAAAGGGGGGAAAATGTTACCTGTGTAAAACCATGCGTTTGAATAAGTGCCTAGGTTATAGTGATACTATTCAAGTTATAATTACATATACTGCATTTAAATCTTCTAAGGAGGACAGGGAGTCCTGGCTTTACTATGTGAGCCTAGTTAGTTTGTATGAACAATGCAGGCCTTGATAAGGACTATGACCTTGAAGAGAAAAAAACAAAAATAAAAAAAACTGATGAAAAGAGAACATCCTGCTCAGAAAGCACTGAAAGTTGAGTAATTGCTGAAGAAGCATCAAATCAGCAAAAATTTTTTGTAACTAGGACAAAGAAAAAGGTGTCAGGTGGAGATTATCACCACCAACTCAACACCAAAAGGATTTACACCCCCTCACCCTTTGAGTTTGTATAGAATAATTAAAAGACAAGGCATGTTGCTAACCAGTGAGGAATGAAGTGATAAGAAAGGAACCACTGGTCATTACAGTAAATGTGTATTCGTGTAGTCTGAAGCATATAAATAAATGGAAGCTGTTTTGTGCAGTGTGCTGGCTTTGTGGAATCACCACCTAGCATCACTCTTTCTGCAAAAAATGAAATAAATGAACTACCTCTGCTCTGTGTGTATATTGGCATAGTGCACATCAGGTAAACGACCCTGTTTGAGGGACAGCAGTGCCCCCGGTCCCAGCTGCCGTGCAAGGGGCTGTGCAAGCCCCAGACATGGGGGGCACGCGTCCCACGGCCCAGGCAAGCTGGAGAGGGGCCGTGGCTTGGCGCTGCCCAAGGCATGACCCCCCCGTCCCCCAGTGGGACCTGCAGGGCCTGTGGTGGAGCGAGCAGGGCTCCAACATGACCCTCTTGGCCCTGGATGTGGCCAGGACCTTCTTGGGCTCCTACCACACCGCTGTGGTGGCTACCAACACGCAGGTGTCACCCCTGCAAGGGTCCCAGCAGCAGCACCCCGGTGCCAAGGGGCAGCCCAGCTTCTGCTTCACCGTGCAGTGGCAGTTCACAGGTACAGCAGCAGCCACCCCAGCATCCCGGGGCAGCCAGTGACCCCCTGCCCATGCTGGGAGCAGGGGGGCCCCCCCGGCAGGTCCCCGTTATTCTCCCTGACACCCAGAGGAATCCTGGCTGTGGCCACAGATCAGCCACATGCGCTTGCTCTGCCACGGGACGTGGATTGTGGAGAGGGGGGGGTGGGCTGTCTGTCTGGGGTGGGTGGCAGGGGTGTCTGTGTGTCTGGGAGAGATGGCGGGAGCGTCCAGCTGTCTGTCCAAGGGACATGGCAGGGCTGGTGCCCATCTATCTGTCCAGATGATGTGGAAGTGACTCATGCGGGCAACCTGGGAAGGAGATGTGTCTGTCTGTCCAGGGCATGCGGTAGGTGGGGGTGTCTGTCTGTCTATCTGCCAGGATCAGGAGGGCCAGGTTCTGCTGCCTGGAGGCACAGGCTCTGAGCCCCCTTGGCCCCACTTGAACCCCACCAGACTCCAGCACTGCCTTTGTGGGCCAGTGCTTCATGGACCACTGTGGGAAGGAGACACTGGAGACCCCGTGGCTCCCGTGGGAAGAGGTCCCATCCCGTAGGAACGGCTGGAAAGCCCCCAGGTGAGCCCTGCCCCTGTCCTCCTGCCCGGCAGCCCTCCGTCCCCTCCTGCTGACACGGCTTCCCCACAGGATTGGCATCTCCATCTTCACCTACATCAAGTGATGGGGATGGGGACCGGAGCTGCCTGTCCCCCGCTACCCCCCCTGCATCCCTGAGGCTCTCTGCTGCCCTGCTCCCAGGATGGGCTCCTGCCTGTTCCCAGCATCCTGGCTGGGAAACACACCCCGGCCCTGCCCTGCTTCCTCCCAGTGCCTTCCAGCAGCCTGCTGGTGGGACTCCCCCTCTTCCCAAAACTTGCTGCCCCGACATGTGTGGAGCTGAATAAACCTTTCTCCACCTGGCAGATAGCCATGCCCCATGTGTCCCTGTAGTGGAACAAGCCACTCTGTGGCTGTGGGCAGAGTGAGGTGGGTGTTGGGTGGTGGCTGGGGGAAGGCAATGTGGCATTTTGGGGGAATGGGAGAGATGGTGCTGGTGCACAAGGGGAGGATAGCAGCTGGGTAATCCCGTTTCCTGACCATGGCTTCGGGACTTGGCAGGCACCTTCTTGCCTGTGCACACATTTGGGGCATCCACAGGGGCACTGTGGTGGGTGGCCCCATGCAGCAGCCCTGGGGTGGAGCAGCAGGATGCCCCACAGACGTGGCTCGGGGGAAAGACTACGTGCAGGTAAGCAGCACACTCACCTGGCCTCACCCTGTATCTTCTCTGCACCCCAGTCTGCCCCTTCGTCCTATTAAACTCCATTTCCAGCTACTGTTCTGGGTGGAGGGCTTGGTCCTGGGTGCACTTATGGGGGAGGACTGGGCACCAGCCCCCTACAGAGGGGACCATGGTCATGATCTGGGAGTCTGGGATGTTGAGGTGGTCCAAATCCCAGGCTGGATACTGGAGGGACCAGGGGAGGGACATGGAGCTCCAGGGACAGGTGCTGGGTAGGCTAGGTGTCTAAAGGCAGATACTGGAGGGATCTCTGCTGTACAAATGTACATAGGCATGTATTTCCCACTAACTGGCCATTGCCTGATCAACCAAAGGCTGGAACAGGTAAAAGCTCCTTTTGGATGCTCTAATTCACAGGACAATTTTGCCTGTATGTTAAACATTATTTTACCAGCTCATCAGGAAAGAAGACAAGCAAGCCTGTCAAACAAGGGCCCAATGCCATTTGCATAGATCTGTCTAACACACCAACTCACTAATTCACCATTTCAGCAACTCATGAAGATTCTGACTCACAGGTTCTCTAATCAGTAACCCACAGCTCCTAACTCAGGTGCCCCTGAGCACCCCGGGGAGAAGTCATGAAGGCAGGGGGAGGTGAGAAGGACTCAGAGGACGGTGCTACCTGGGGCTGCAGGGCTGCTGGGGAAAGAGACTGCAGGATGGGGCAGGGACTTTGGGGCAGCAAGCACAATGTGCCACGGAAGATTTTTAAGAGCCTGTTCAACATCTTCTTCCTCTCACAGTGTGCCCAAACTTCCTCAGGCTTCCTCAGGCCCTGCTCCTCTCCCTCCTTCCCCGCTGAGATCTGGGGCTGCTCTCAACCGCGTGAGCTCCTGGAAAGTGCACAGGGCAGATCCTGTCCAGGATATGTCTCTACTGGCTGAGCCCAACTGCCTGATGTGCCTGGAGGTTCAGCTTTCACTTAAAAGCCATCCATGCACCCTCATCCTCACCCCTGCATCCTCATACTTACCCCTCCACCCTCATCCTCACCTCTCCACTCTCATCCTCACCCCTTGCCCCTCACCCCTGCATCCCCATCCTCACCCCTGCACCCTCCTGCCTTCCACATGCAGCCCCTCGTTTCAGCCCCATTGCACGCTGACATCCTTGGCCCTGCCTTGAACACGTTGGGCTCCTTCTCGCACTCGCCCTCCCCAGTCGCCCGCTGTGGCTGTCACCAGCACCATGAGCGGGTCCCCAAATGCTCCTCCAGACGGTCGGTGAGGGCAAAACCTCGGCACCCCAGCGGGACTCAGAGGATGAGGCTGGGAACGCCGGTGGCGGGGAGCCCACGGGGGGACGTGGGGCCACCAAGAACAACGCGGCAGCGGGCAGTAAGACTTCCTTTCTGCCCTTTCATCGCCCCCACGGCTGCAAATTCCCTGTCTCTTGGTGTTCCCTAAGAAGGCAGCCCCCGGGATAGGAGGCGATGTAAGCAGCCTGCGAGGGAACAGAAAGAGAAAGCAAACCCGCAGGTTGAGAGAGGAAGCCAGCGGTGACCGCGGCACCGCCGCCGCCCCCCAGGCCCCGCTCCCCAGCCGCCCCGGGCGCCCCCCAGCCCGGCCCCGCTTCCCCCACGGCCCCGTCCCCGGCGCCCCAGCAGCCGCCCCGCTCCCCCGCAGCAACAGCCCGCCCGGCCCGCTCCTGCCCCGACGTTTGCTGCCCTTTCGCTCTCCCGGGACGTGTGGCCAGGGCTGCCCGCCCCCGGCCCGCCGCGCCCCGGCCTTTCCCTCTCGCTGCCGGGGCAGGTTCGCTTCCTTCGGCTGCGCAGCCCCCGGGGCCGCTGCACATCGCCAGCCGTCCCCGCACCCCTCCCGTCGCCCTGCCCCCAGGGCTCCCCGGCCTTCCGTGAGTCCCTTGCGGCGACCGGGGCGGGGGTTTGGGGGGCGGGGGCTCCTGCAGGGCAGGGGGGCAGCCCAGGCACAGCCCTCAGCCGGGAGACCAGGGACCCCCGGGCTGGGATATGGGCAGTGGGCAGCCCCAGGCAGCCCCTCCTGCGTCCCTGTCCCCATTTCCATCTCCATGCCCTTGCCTATCTCTGCCACAGTCCCTATCCCCAGCCCCATCCTGTTCACTGTCCCCATGGGCCATCAGTGGGATGGGGAGGGGAGGTGAGGCAGGTCCCAGCACCCACCCCAATCCCTCTGGCCCCTCTCGTGTCCCCACTCTGCCCCTCCCCGATCTCTCCCCACGCTGGACGATGTCTGCAGGCAGCAGGACATCTCCTGAAACACTGTTTGGGCCCGGCGGCACCGAGAGTTGCTTTGGCAGCATCTCTGCCGCAGAGCATTTCCCTGCCAAGAGCGGGACCCACCCGGGCTCCGTCAGCGTTAGACCCGCTGGTGCTCGTGGAGCCCCCAAAGCAGCCGGGGTGCCGCTGGGATGCTAACAGCCACCGCTCCTCCAGACTCCACAGCTGTCTTCGTGGGCCAGTGCTTTGCTGGGAACAGCGGGGAGGAGGTCCTGCAGACCTCCTGGCTGCTGCGGGAGAAGGTCGACTCCCTGTCCAGCGACTGGAAAGCCACCAGGTGAGCCAAGGGACACCCAGCCTGGCTGGGAGCCCTGCCCCTCCGCCGGCCGAGCACCGATGGGCTGCTGCTTCCCCGCAGGACCGGGCACAACATCTTCACGCGGGTGCACTGAAGGGAGGAGGGAGAATCCTCTCGCTTCAGCCGGGCTTGGCAGAACAGGTGTTCCCTCAGCAGCTTCAGGGTTGGTTTCAGCTTTAACGGAAGATGTCGCCAAGTTCCAAAGAAAAATAAACTTGTTTTTTGTCTTTAAACCCAGCGTTGTGCAGTCTGTGGATATGTCCTGGGTAAACTGGGCTAAAGCTCGGCAGCAGGTGCAACGTGGACCTCTCTCCCTGTTACTCTGGAAAGAGACTGGCCCCGAGAAAGCCCCTTTTCCAGCCCAAGTGGGATGGTGAATCCCCAAAGTGACCCCCTGACACAAGCACGGGCCAGCCCTGGCTCTTCCCTGCTTGAACGCCGGCCCCTCTGCCCCCCAGAAACCTGGCTGGGAGCCCCCCCAGCTCTGAGGCAGCCCTCGGGCAGGCAGACGTGGGGTCTTGGCTGTGTCCATACTCCTGGCAAGCGGCGAGGACCGCTCTGTACCAGCAGCACAGCGTCAGCAGCTGCAGCACACCCAGTCCCCAAACTCCTGTTAGGGAAATGCATGTGATTTACTGGAAACCAGGGGTGCAGCAAATCCAGCACAAACTCCTGCCTGCTCAAGTTTGAGACTGACTCCAGTGAGCCATCCCTGTGCCGTCTGAGTCACTCCTCCCAGCAAATTTAATGATTTCCTGGAAACCGAGCTCCGGTCCTGAATCTGAAACTCGGTCCTCAGGCTGCCCCGCTGCAAAATAACCCCGGACGGTGCCGCACGCCCCGCGGCAGCACCCTGCCCGGGACCCGAGCCGCCTAAAGGCAGGAGTGGGCTGGTGGGGCTCCCACCTCCCGCTGCTCCCCTGGTTTTCCTGCCACGAATGCCGTGGGAGAGCTTTGCTAACAGCACCCGTGGCTTCAGCAAGTTTTCCACCTGCTCTGTGTTTTAGCCTGCCTTGCTGCAGATTTGCATGTGGTTTGATTTTCACCGTGTTCTCCCTTGGGTCCAGCTTCCACATCTGAAGCGATGCTGCTGTTTCCCTCACGGTGCCTCCCTGGAATTTCTCCAGCTTTCTCGGTTCCCTCACAGCCTTTTGGAGCAGAATGCCTTCACGCCAGCCCTGTGCTACGCTCTCCTTTGGTCTGCGCAGCCTCGTAGCTGCTTTAGAGGAACCCGAGAGTTAGGAAAGAGGGTGGCAGGGGGACCCCAGGACTCTGCTCTCACCCCAAAGCGTGGCCAGCTCGGTGACGGGGCATCCTGCTAAGCCTGCTGCCTTCCTGCCTGCACCCTCCTGACGTTGTTATTGCCTTGAAGCCAACATTTCCCTCGGGCAGGGCTCCCCGAGGCTGTGCAGCAGCCCTGGGGTGCTCCGGCAAGGCAACAGTGCTGGCTGCGGTTTGAGCAGTCTGCAAAGGGCAGGGCACGGCACAGAGGAAGCACGTAACCCCCTCAGCCCTGGAGATTGTGACCCGGCGGCAGCACAGATCAGCACGGCTCTGCACAGAACAGCACGGCACGGAACAGAACAGAACAGAGCAGAAGAAAACAGAACAGATCAGAACAGAACAGCCACGGCGTGCATCTCCTCATTCAGTCACCCTGCACTCTGGGCACGGCACTGCTCGGCACGGCTCGGCACGGCTCGGCACGGCTCGGCACGGCTCGGCACGGCTCGGCAGCAGCGGGAGCTGCCCCCAGCCTGCCCTCACCTTCCTGGCAGCAGCGGCGTGGGGGCCGAGCAGGGCCGGGGGGAGCAGGAGGCAGCAGCCGAGGGTCCCCGTGGCGGTGGGGGCGGCGGGGGCCGTGCCCCGGTTCTGTCAAGGGCCACCCCGGTGGGAAATGGGCCACTGGCCACCGCGCTGGCCTGAGCCGGGCCCTGCTGCCCCGGGCAAGGTGGGGGTCCCCAGGGAGAGCAGTGGGGCGGGGGGGGGCTGTGACAGAGGGTCCCGGGCCATCGGGGGGGTCACGGCAGGAGATACACATCGGGCCCCAGGGATGGCAACAGGAGAGGCCGTGGGCGGCCGTGGGGTGCCGGGGGAACGTGGGTGCTGAGCTGTTACACGACAGGAGCCACGTGGGTGTTTGCAGGAAAACTTTATTGGGAGAAGCAGGGAGTGTGGTGGGAGCAGGGGCTGCACACCTGGGGGTGCCTCCGGCCCGGGAACCCCCACGCCGTCACCCTCACTCCTTCCGGGAGCGCAGACGGGTGAAGGTGTTGATGCCGACTCTGCAGGGACACAGCGGGAGGAGATGTAAGGGTGGGAAATGCAGCCTTGCTCGGGGCAAACGCACCCTCCCAGTGCCGAATGCCCAGCCAGCCCCCACCCCAGCCCTGACACCTTGGTGGGCCCCCCGGGGAGGCCGTACATCAGCCCCCCATCCTCGGTCACCCCACACGGGCAGCAGCTCTGCTGGGCACTGAGCCCTGTGGGGTGGGAGAGCCCCGACCCCTCCGGGAACGCGCAGGGGACCTGAGCAGGGCAGGGACGGGGAGCTCACCTAGTGGCTTTCCAATCATCACTGATTTTGTCCACATGAGACCTCAGGAGCCACATGGTCTTCAAAACCTCCTTTCCCTCATCATCCACGAAGCACTGGCCCGTGAACACAGTGACGGAGTCTGTGGGGATGGGGCAGGAGGTGGAGGGAATCATGGTCAGGGTGGCAGGTCAGTGCCGAGCCCGTGGTCCTGCAGCCTGCCCCAGCACTGGGGACAGGAGACCCGGGCTGTCCCTGCCCCATGGGGACAATGGTGATGGGGAAAGGAGGCAGGAGGGGTCAGAAGGCTTGGGGTCTTGTGTGGGGAGAGACTGCAGAGCTTCAGCCCCCCGCGCATCCCCTGTGTCCCGGGACTGGGAGGTGACAGCAGCCAAGGAGCTCTAGGGTGAAGCACGGGGGAGCATCAGGGACAGCAGAGGGGATGGGGGAGCACTGGGGACACTGCAGGGGAAGGCAGGGGATCATAAAGGACACTGCAGGAGGAGGGCAGAAAAGCATCAGGGACACCACCGGGAGGGCAGGAGGGCTCTGGGGACACTGCGGGAAAGCTGGGAAAGAAGTACCTGAAAAGCTCCAGTTTACAGTGAAGCCGAAGGTGGGCTGGCTCTTCTGGTTTGTGTTGTGCTGGGACCCCTGCAGCGGTGACACCTGGATCTCATTCATGGTGGCTGTCACGGCGGTGTGGTAGGAGCCAGCGAATTCGCCTTTTCCGTTCAAAGCCCCGATGGTCATGTTGGAGCCCAGATCGTTGACCCATTTCCCGGTCAGCACGCACTGGAGCGGAGGGGACTCAGTTGGTGCCGCAGCACAGCCCAGGCACAGGCAGGGTGACAGGAGCAGGTGCCCCTGGAGCCGCAGCCCCCCTGCCCTGTGCATCCCAGCCCCGCCGTTACCTTTCTTGCAGAGTGACCGGGAGCCACCAGGGCCAGGCTGAGCACCAGGAGGAAGGGAATCGCTTGCACCATCTCTGCAGTGGACAGACAGCTGGCGTACCTCGGCTGTGCTCCTCGCAGGGCTCTGCCGATGCGCCTGCTCTCACCTTTTTATTGCTGCCAGGGCTGTGGGTGGCAGGTCCTGCCAGGGCATTGTGCAATCTGGGTGTTTCCAAATCTGCAGTTCCCAGCTGTATGAAGGGGTGATTGCAGACCGATGTTCCCAGAAGCGCCTCTTGAAACTGTCCCTCCTTGCTCACACTTCCCTGGCATTTTGTGGGGAGGCTCCAGCTCTGCAGGTTGGTGACTGCCAGGACAGATGCTCAGTCAGGAAAAACCCCTTTCAGTGGCTGTTGTCCCTCCTGCCATTCATCACCCCACTGTTGTGCCCAGGGTGAATAGGGGTGACAAGGAACCTTAGCCCCACTGCACCCCAGAATCAGCTGCAGCACATGGCCTCACCCTAGTCCTCCTCACCAGGCATCCTTGTGCAAACCCACCCAGCACCAAGCTCCTTTTGGGGCTTTGCTTTATCCCCCCACCCCAGTAGTGAAGCAGCCATAGATCATGCTACAAAGTGCCTGGCCTTATCTTGCCCAAGGCTCAGATGGAGTTTGCTGCTGTTTTTACAAAGTGGCTTTTGTTGGAAGGAAATTGTTTTGTTTATGAAAACCAAACATTCCCTGAATATCTTGGTTGTCTTGTTTCAATGCTGACAAAAATTGTACTTATTCAGAGATTCTTAAATAACTGTAAGTATGTGTTTATATAATGTTATAGTTGATGTCTGGAGAGGCTGAAGTGGCTCTGTTCACATTAGACTTTCTCACCCATTCCTCAGTGATTTTCAGGGAAGACTCCTAAAATATGTGCTTTAATTCCCCCAATCATCACAGCAAGAGCTGATGGAGCTCTATTCACCAGAAAATGATCCTTTTCTATGAATGTAGACAAGGCAACTCTGCAACATCTCAGAAATACTTCCCAAACATTGCTTTCCCTTACATTTCAGATTTGGACCCCAGTTTCTATCCAACAGCAAAATTCACTGCTACCCAGGCTGGGGCGAATTGCACTTCTGCTGCCCGCATTTCAACACCCCCCTTTCCTCTCTGCAGGAGCCCCACAGCCCTCTTGCACCCCTGCCTGCAAGAGCTCCCTGGCCAGAGACCTCGCTGTCCCTGGGAAACTCCTGCCCCAATGTTTGCTTCCCTCTGTCTTGAAATTAACGGCACAACGAGGTGTTTTCCCACACAGCTCCTTTTTGCCTTTTACTGTTTTGGTGGCAGGGAGGTACTGCCTGGAACATGTTGAAGGTTCATGATAACAAGTAAGGTCAGGCTGGGAAGTTTGTAAGGAGCAGGGGGGGCAACCATCACCCCCTTGTCTTCAGCTTGGCTCATGGAGCTCCTGCAGAGACCCCATGGCCACTGGTGGGCACTGAGATAGGCAACCCAAGGTCTCCATGCTGGCGCCAGTGCTGATGGCAACCCACAGCTCAGTTACAGCCATTGGTTTATTTTAGCATCACACAACCCATATTGGTGCTATCTGTCCATAATCTTTATTTTTCTTGTATTTAACGACGCCTATCCCAGTGGCATATCTTGTAGTTGCAGTGATCAGCTCAGTGCTCAAGGAGACAGATTTCTTGACTAGTCTCAGATGAGCCAAAAATAAAACAAGCCAATCTCTGAAGAATTTGCATCCTCCAAAGGACAGCCAGTGAAGTGACACATAGATAGAAACAATTACCACAGATAATCCTGTGATGCCATGCCCGAGCCCTGTCACAACAGAAGCAGGCAAGGGAAAGGGGGAAGCAGGGGAGAAGTCCAAAGCAGAAGTTAAAAGTTGTCAGGGCTGGGGTTTCAACGTGTATGTCAGGAGTCAAGAAAGGGTTAATCAATAATAAGAAAGGGTTAAATAATAATTAAATTTGCTGCTCAAGCTGGGATTGAGTCAGCCTTGAAAAACAGTAGCACATGAAAACATTAGAGAAAATCTTATCTCTAACCAAGGATTGTCCTCCCAGCCTGCAACCATGCCCATGCAGAAGCTGCTGAAAGTTGAGTGTATCACGTACAAGTTTTATCAAGGTGACATGGTCAAAAGAGAAGGAAAGAACAGAAATATCCCTCAGTACAGACTGAACACCCCAACCTTTGAAAGAAAGTCTGTGGGCAGCTTGTCTCCGGGGCTTAATGAGCGATGCTGACAGGTTGCAGCAATAAATCCCAGCCTGGTCAGGTGTTGGGCTGGCTCTGGCACCCGCTTTCGCCCCTTGCCAGCTGGATGGGGACATCCCTGTCTCCGACAGCTGCCAACACAAGACGGATGATGGTGGGCACCCCCATCTCCCCCTTCCAGCCTCATCCCAGTCCCTTTCCATCAGCTGCAGGCTCTGTGCTGGGAGCATGGCACCAGCAGGTCTGCGGGGGGGGGGGGGGGTCGCATCCGGGACAACCTGCCCTTCCCGGATAACATTATTCCTCTGCCCAGGCGGATGCAGGAACGCTCCCCTGGGCAGCAAAGAAAAGGCCGTTTATCACCTGTTGGCAGAACCAGGCCAGAGCAGCAGTGCCCTGCCTGCTCCAGCTCCCAGAGCAGGCAAGGGCTGGGGGCAAGGGGGGGACAGACACACACAGGGCACAGGGGGAAGGAAAGGCTGCTTCCTACCCCAGCCCCGATTAAGGGAGGGCTTTCGAGCAAAAAGCTCTGAAGCAGGCAGAAAGACCTTGCAGCTAGATCTGGGGACAGGGTCCCCCTCCCATCCCCACACTACCAGGCAGAGAAGGGAGGAAGAGGAAGCAAGGCACCCAACCCTGAGTAGGAAAGGACAGCGTTAGGTCAAGGGCCAGCCTGGGGGCACCGCCACTCCCCACAGAGGCATTTTCAGGAGGAATTGCCTCACAGGCAAAAGAGAGCAAGGTCGCTTGCCGTCCCATCTGCGGGGAGGCACATCTTGCTCCCGTTAGCAAAACCCTACCCGAGGAGCCGGCCATGGGGGCTTGCCTCCTCCCTGCAACCCCAGGCCAGGAAGTAAAAGGGGAGCAAGAGGGGCCCCCTCCTCCAGCTCGCCCCTGTGACAGAGAAGACACGCAAGAAGAAGGATAGACAGCTGGACAAATTTATTAAGATCTTAAAATGATTCATCCTCTAAACCATGCTCCACTGCCCGCCCCCGGCGCCAGCAGGGAGGGGTGCCATGGTACCAGACCAGGACCTGCTGCTTGGGCTCCGATTGTCACCATCCAGGAAGCCAAGACTCCCCTGGGGATTGTATCTGCCACAGGCTCTCCTGGGGCTGGTGCTTTGGGGTAGAGTCAGTCTCTGTTTGCAGTGTCACACAACGGAGGGACAACTACAGCATCCACGTGCCTGCGTGCACCAGTCCAATGTCCTCACACACACACTCGCACAGTTGTGGGTTTTTTGTTTTTTTTTTTTTTTTTTTTTTTTTTGCCCTGCAGACCAGCTCCCACCTTACCCAGACCACTGACTGAAGGAGAGAGGTCTCCTGTGCTCCTGGGTAAGGTACCAGCTCCGGTGGACGATGGCTGGGGGTCCTGCAGGCTGTCAAAGCCCTGAGTGATGGAGAAGGGGAGGCACAGGCTCCAGCAGCACCTCCTTATCCCACCCCTCTCCTCTCTGAGGAGACATCACCTGCACCTCTCGTCCCCCCTCATGCTCAGTGTCGGTGGCTGGAAGCCCCCTGAGGTGGAAGGCATGTAGTGGAGGTAGGGAAGGAAAACAGCAATGTGAATATTATCAAAGAGGGGTAGGGAAGGGTCCCTGCCCACCAGCTGAGGTCCCCCAGCCCCCAGCGCACCCACTGCCCTGCTCAGTGCCACCAGGCTCAAGGGTGGATGGGGACCTGGGGAGGTGGTGCTGGTGCCCGGCCAGCTCCTCGCTCCAGGGCCAGCTGCATGCTCCAGATGCTAAGGGGCCGCATGTAAGCCAGCGAGCGATAGACCTTCTTCTCCCGATAGGCCTCCGGTGTCTGGAAAGCCATGCCCAGCTGCTCCCAAACCGTCCGGTAGCAGCCCTCCGCCGTACGGAAGCCTTCCTCCACCAGCCCCTGCAGCAGAGGGAAGACGACCATCAGCCCATCCACGGGCATGCAAGGAGATGGCACGTGTCGAGGGGTGCAGCATCGCCACTCACCTCCTGGATCATGGTGGCAGCCAAGGCGTAGACCACCCCAATCCACACCTCGTTGGACTGCACACTGGAGGTGTCGGGCACCCCGTCAGGTCTCATGCCGTTCACCGCTCCCATGGTGCCGCCAGCAAAGCCCATGACGTTTTTCTCAAAGATGGTCTTGAGCGCACTGACAACGTGACTCTTGCGGAAGACCTGTGTGGAGAGAAAGAGAGGGCGAGCTTTGGGCTCGGCGCCCATGCAGACCCTGCAGGCTGGGTGTCCAGGGAGCAGGGCTAAGCTTTCCAGGAGAAAGAGGTCAGTGCTACTCACTGGGTAAATAGCCACCTCGGGAAAATAACAGGAAGAAGTAAAAAAGCCTTTCTCAGAAAGGACCAAAAAAACCACACCAAAACAGTTGCTCAACAGAAGAGATGGTGAACTTCATTCTACCTTCCTCATGGGGAGGCTGACAGCTCATCCAACTAGTGTGTCTCCATAAACAACCTCTCATCTTCAATCACTGGCCAAAGCCCCCACATCTCTTGGGATTTTGCTCTGGGGACCTGGCCAACCACACCATCCTCATCTTGGCTTATGGTCACCACTGCTCATTTCTCAGGCTGATGGCTATCTGAGGCCCAGGTTTTCTCCTGGTAAGACCACTGTACTGTTCTCTCAGCCCATCTGCACGAGGCATTGCAATGCCTACAAGAAATGGGACACTGGCCAGAAGTGGCCAAACAACGGTCTGGGATCAGTGAGGCTGGAGGTACCTTCCTGACAAAAGGGAAAGATCATGGCAAAGCCGGTCTAATGACATCAGAATGCATGTTGCAGCTGCAAAGTGAATGTTGTGGATTGTGGTAGGTTTGTTTGAGTAAATGCTGGGAATCTTGGAGAAAAAAAAGAAAAAAAAAATTCTGCTTCAGCTCAAAGGAAAAACAAAAACAGGGCTTAGTTCTGAATGATTTCAAAAAGACTTTAATCCTTCCAATTTTGTAATCAGGTGGTGATGCAAGGGTTTGTGGCCTGGACCAAACAGAATCTGAGGTGAGAGAGAAGGGGGAGCCTGGGGATGAGGAGGTCAGACTGAGATGTACAGGGTGTCTGATGGTTTTTCATGCCTGGCAGGAGAGGTTTGAAACTTTTACCCCAAATGAAAGCTAAAGACTTGTGAAAAGCCAACACTGCTCGCTGGATAAACAGCCATCTCAGGAGATTATCAAGAGGAAGTAAAGACCTTCCTCCTCCAATACGGGGAAGAATTTTGTTCAACAAGCTAAGGCCAAGACCTCATAACATTTACGAGAACAGACTGAAGTACAATGCTGAGTAAGCTCTTACCAAAAAAGAGGAAAAAAAAAAGGAGCCCCACAAACAAACAAAAACAACCAACCCACCCCACCCGAGCACAAAAACACCTGCCAGCCAATCAAAAAGCAGTGGAGCAGCAACACAGTGAGGACTGCATTAAGATGAAAATTCTCTATGCACAGCTGAATGTAAATAAAGCTTTTGCTCTGCTTTCATTATTGGCAATAAAACTAGGAAGCGTCAGTGCAGCAGAAGTCACTGCCCCGGTCAGAAAAGCAAAGCTCAAGACTCAGTGATGTTGCAAGGGGACTGCTGGCTGCTCTCTGTCCCAAACCCACCTAACAACGAAAAAGCCACAACAAGAAATGTGCAGGGTAACCAAGATGAGGAGTGATGCCACAGAGCAACCACGACACCTGCTCGCAAGAAAGGGAAGAGTTCCTGGCTCATCAGCACAGCCCAGGGACCTGACAGACCTTTCTTGCCAGTCTGGTGCCTCCAGAGGCAGGGGAAGAAAAACATGTGCTGACACCAGGCAGGAGCTTGCCAAGGGAGGCTGGGCAGTCCAACCAGACACCTTTGGTAAACTCAAAGGAAAGGCAGCAGATTCTTTTAATCTATGCTAAGCCAAGCATCTGACACATTTTTTTCTGGTGTGGCTATGTAGATAAGCCCAAGTGCTGTTAGGGAGCAGGAATCAGCAGAGGGGAGATGTGAAGCAGCCCCCTCTAGCAAAACGTTTCAGGGCACAGTTTCCTCAGGACTGGATCACAGACTTTTCTTACTTTGTATTTCATTGCTGACCTCTGCAAGCAGCAGGAGCGCATTAATGAGGTTACAAACAGAAATACTGCCAGCCAGGTGAGGGATCAAAATACACGGAAAAAACCCTACGTGGTCAGAGTAACAGAAGAGGGAAGTTTACCAGTCTCGTCTCCAGCGAGCTCAAAGCTCACCAGACCAGCAGAGAAGAGTGCCACCTTCAGCAACAACAGTGAATAGCTATGGAAAGGCAAGCGAGATTTTTGGACTGCACCAGGTTTACTGTTTCCCCCCAAAAAAGGATCTTAGGGTATCACTGCATAAGGTCTGGGCCAGATCCTGCCTGGAACCTCAGGCACAGCCCCAATCCCACACTCCAGGGACCTACACTGGGATAAATGCAGGAGGGCATGGCCAGGCTCCCATTTCTCATTAAATGCCACAGTGTTCAGCACAAGCTACTCCCAGGAAAGGTCACTTCAAGCTCCCCTCTGATATGGTGAAATGGTCCATGACCCTCGCACAGCCAAGAGTTCCTTCCTTCAGTCAGCCAAAGCATTTGCCTCTCCATTAGCACCACAGACACAACTGCCTACGGTCTGACAACTTTGGCCTGACAACTGTCTTTGGCTCATAAATAATCTATATGATGGCTCTCCACTTCCCAGCTCTGTTCCAGGTATTGCACCACCAGCACCTGCTCCTACCACCCCATCAGACAAGAAGAATCTTCAGCCAATTCTTCCCTTGCAACTGAAGAACAACATACTTCAGGGCCCCAAATAAGCCTTAATTCCACTGGACATTCATTTAGAACTTCGAACTGGGCTGCAAATAACACAGGGAAAGTTTCATACACCATTTTTCTCCCATTTTTAAAGAAATAGTGACTTGCCAAGAGCAAACCACAGTGGGACCTTCCTCCAAGCATGCTGGAGCCGACTGCAGTTACACACCCCTGCCCCATGGCCTCTCCATCAGCAGATTTTGGTTTAAGGTGAGTCGCACCAATGTGCATCCAACAGCCTCCACCCGAGCACGCGATGCTGTGGGGGAGCAGGATGGTGCCTCCCGCACCAGCACCCAACACGTTAACCTGCAGCACACGCCAGCCCCGCTGCTGCTCTCCTGCTGCAGATCTTGCCTCACCCCAACCCACACCAGGCCACCCCTTCTCTCACCTCAAACTCCCCTTGATCCAGGCCACAAGCCCCAAGAAACCACTGCCCGGCACACTGGTCTGACATGATGCTGCTGGAGGTTTCAGTCCCACTGCTGTCGTAGTTGTAGTATTTTCCTGGAAAAGGCAGGAAACAGTTTAAAACTGATAATTTAGGACCCTAGCTCATGTGTGCTGTCCCCACACTCTTCCCTGCAAGGCAGTAACACAGCAGCTTTTTCCAAAAGGCCCTCTTCTCTTTCTTTTCCCAGACCATCATATCCTCTGTTCCCTCCCTGGTACCTGCTCCTTCCCCTCTGCTTGGAGGGATGGCAATCTCCCCTCCTTCCCTTCTCACCTGCCAGGTTCTGTGACCCAAAGAGAAGCCCTCCCACCTCCCAAGGGATGCATGGCCAGTCGAGTGTGGTTCCCCACCGGCGAGCACCCACCGTTCCAGAGCATCCTCTCAAATGCCTCCTTGCCCTTGCTCAGGATGTCCGTGTATTTCTGCTGAGTCTCTGCGTCCCCGAGCACCTCTGCCATCTTGCACATCATGCAGACAGCTGCCAGCCACAGCCCACCGCAGTAGGCACTGCCAGAGCCAAAGGAGAGAGAGAAGCATCAGCAACGTGGGATACCCCACGGGTTGCACAGAGCTCCCACAACAGACAGGGACCGCAGTCCCAGCTCTGAGCTACCTCCCCACCCCACGCCCCCCGTCTCCAACCCCCACCTGCCTCTCTTGCTCACCTGGCTCCATTTACCACCCACGCATCATACGTCTGGTCAGCAAAGCCACCGTTTTCGATAAGCCCGTCGTTATCCGTGTCAAACTTCAGCTCTGACTCCATCACAGCCTGCGGGAGATGGTCACACAGCCCCTGCATCCTGGCAGCCCCCCACGCTCTGCGCGGGAGCACCCACCCCCTCTTGGGAAGTCGCACGGCTCCCAAGGGAAGTGGGGAAGGGGGATGCCCCACGGTCTGATCTCCTCCCAGTACCTGGCAGACTGGCCACATGTCCCGCAAGTACAGGGAGTCATGTGTCAGGTAGTAGTCACGGTACACCTGCAGCACAAATTTCAGGTTGAGGTCCTTCCAGTCGGCAGTGTCGTGCATCAGGTAGGCATTGACACGCTGCCACGGCTCGTCACCTGAGCAAGGACAGAGTGGATACAGCAGGGCAGCAAGCAACGAGCGTCCCCTCTTCCTACCCAGGAGCAAGGTCCCAAGGGTGCCGTGATCAAACAGCACTAAAATAAAGACGTTGCATCCTGTGCCATCTCTAGGGAGAGCAGCTTTCCCATCCACTGCTCGGCTCCCCTCCGTCTGCCTTGTACAAGGTCCATGCAGTGTGGTCTTTATCACCACCCTAAACCATCTGAGCTTTTAATTCCCAGAAAACAGTGTATTCCATGCACTGTACCTCTTTCCCACAGCGTGGGAGTTAACTACCCCTGAGAAAGTTGTGTGAGCAGCCCTGCAGCCCCTCTGGTCCCCAGAAGGCCTGGCCAGACCCCTCACCTGGGTCCCCAATGTCGTGTGGCACCACGTTCTTCAGCTTCACCTGGGCTGTCTGACCACACATCAGGTACTGCCGGGGCTGGACGTCCTCATTCACCACTGTGACAGCTGGAGAGGACACAGAGCAAGAGACATCAGAAAGGCTGCAGGCACTGCAGCCACACGCTCCAAGCGCAGGCAAGGCCACCTGCACCAGCACACCGGGCTGCCCCATGGGGCTGCAAGATCACAGCAAAGGGCTGAGGAGACATCAGGCTGATCCCAGCCTCCCCTCAGCAGGGGACACGCAACTGTCACCACCCCCTTAAGCCAGGCGGTGGCAGCATCCAGGGCTGGGAGGGAGCCCCAGGGGGCTCAGCCCTCCCACAGCCCAGCAAAGGGCTGTGCTCCACCACTGGTCTGGGACACCACAGAGCAGCCTTCCAGCCCACTCAAAACATCAGGGTCTGCAAACAGCTCCATGCTGCTTCTCTGCAAGGGGCATGGAGGGAGTGAGTAAGACCAGAGACTCTCCCAGGGCAGGCAGAACCAGCTGTGAACCCCCAGTGCGGCAAGAAGGCATCCCAGTGCTGGCCAGAAAGATGCTGGGAGGCAGTTATGTTGCAGGTTTGCAAGTCCTGGGCCCAGCAGAGGAGCTTGAGGGGGACACTGGCTCCACGTCACGGATTTCTATGGAAAACTCTGCCCCAAATCCTCTGCCTCTTCCCTAGGTGAAGGCATCAGCAGGCATCAATCCAGGGTCTCCTGGGTCACTCACCAATGTCATACTGCAGGCTGATCTGCAGCTTGGGCCACAGCATGACGAGAGCAAAGGAGGCGTAGAAGTGGACATCGTAGGTGTTGTACATCCGGTACTCCTGGCCTGGAAGGACCGGAAACACAGTGAGGGATGGGAGATCTGCCACAGGGAAGGGAAAGGAGGGACAGGTCCTCCCTCCCACACGGCCCAGGATGGTGAGCTCTTTCCCAGAACAGGCAGGGGCTCCCATCGGAAGTGGGTTTCATGCTCTACATATAGCACCCAGGGTTCTGGAGAAGATTTTGTGACATATCCTACAGGGCTTGGTCCTGCAAGGGGGTTTTGCTGGGAACAGCACTGCTCCCTACCCATCCGGGTGTGAAAATCATCCCCACGGCAGGTTAAAACCACCTGGTGACAGCAATGGGGAGAGGTTGAGTTGGGACCATCCATCACGTCCCTGCAAGTTACCTTCCAAATAAGCAAACCTTCCGTACTCCCGCAGGACAGGGAGGAGGTGGGAGAGGCCAGCCCCCGCCGGCCCCCGCAGGTCCTCAGCACGGCAGTCCGGGGGCAGCTCCACCCAGATGGTTCCCCCATCCGTCATGAAGTACAGCTCATTGAAGAGGGCTGACTTGTACCATGAAGGCAGCTGGCTGCGGGCAAGAGGGAAACTCAACCACAGCGGCCAAAGGGGTGACGCTCCTGCTCTGACCAGCCCCAGGAGGCCAGTGGGATGGCGCTCCCATCTACATTACCTGTTCTCCAGGATGGGCTTCTGCCACGCTTCAATCTTCCTCTCCCACTCCTCATAGTGCGTCAGGGCATGATGCGACAGGGCAGGACCAGCATCGCCTCCGCTGCCAAAAAAACGGGTGTACCGCCTGCCAAGTGGGGGGTTTGGTCAGTACGCCGTGGGCACAGGCTGGGAAGCCCACCCGGCCACGGGAGAGGAGCTGGACTGTAGTGAGCACCAGAATAATGTGATGGTTAGTGCAGGGGCATTGAGGCACAGGGGATGGGGAGGGGGTCCCGCCCGTGAGCTGTCAGGGCCACGGCCGCAGGGAGTGGGTGACACAAGGCTCCCCAAGCAGTACTCAAGCCTGGAGGCAGGGAGATGGGGGCCTTGGGGACGTGAGCCAAGCCCCACTGGAGACAACCCACCCACCGGAGGTGCAGCTTCTCCTTGGAGCCAAAGTGAACACAGGGCATGTCCCAAGCCAGGGCCAGCTCCAGCGTCCTGTGCCCCCGGGCGGGCACCCTGCAGCTGGCACACACTGCTGCTGCCGTCACCTCCCCCTTCTCCGTCAGGCTGCTTTTACCTGGTGGTGGGGAGAAAAAAAAAAAAAAAAAAAAAAAAAAATATTCACAAGTGACCAAGGAAGACTTGTGGGGGGATGACTGGTGCTCCCATATACCCGGAGGGGGATGAGACTGTTCAGGCATGCCCCAGCCCCCTTGCAGCCTGGAGGGTACACCCTCAGGTTTTTAAGTCATGACATTACTGCACGTGAGTAACTGGTTTTTGCAAGCAGGAAAAAATGCCTGCCATGGGTGGAGGGGTTAAAATAGTAAGTCATCAAAGCACAGGAACGAATCAGGCAGGAAAAGCCACTAGGCACAAGTGGAAGGAACAGTGCACCCCATGACTTTGTAACTGCGCTACAGTTACACAGAGACACTGTGACTTTCTAGTGACAGTCATTGTTTCCAGCTTTTTGCAGGGTGCTTGAACTGTGCCCGTATTTAAGAAAAGCCCTGAGGCAACTGGATAATTATATGCTAGTTCTGACATGTGTACCAGGTAAACTCATTAAAGCAACAATTTTAACAGAAGCACTGATCCTGACTACGATAATGCCTGGCAAGCACGAAGGAAAACCACATCCCAATGGCCTGGAGAGCTCTGAGTGCATCTAGGCAGGAAACTTAAGTTTTCCGGAAATATTCATGTAAACGCTTTATTTACATGATTTAACCTTCGAGAAATCTTGCAAAGGCCCAGTGCCAGCATCACTAGTTTGTCAGCATCATCCTTTTCCAAAAGCTGGCAGGATTATTATGAAAATGGTCACTTTTTATGACAGTAAGAGGTTAGCAGCAAGGGCTAGGAGATGCCACTCTGCTTCAAGGCTTTTGTCAAGGGAGCGAGCAGACAACTGAGGATGATGCAAAAGTATCAAGGAAATAAGAGATACTTTCAGGGAACTGATATAGTAGCAAGAGGACAACAAGTGATGGCAGCACCAAGCCTCAATGACTGCTGAACGCCCACTAGAACAAATCTGACAGGGCCCAGCTCACAGATCTGGCAATAGGAGCTCAGGGAAGGTGGCTGAGGATCACCCTGGCTACTCAGCAGAAATCTCAACTCAGTGTGCAACCCCACACAGACAAGATACTGGCACGTGCAATTAATATAGCAGAGAACAGCCCCTCAGCAGTGTGATCAGCTTTCTGAGAACCGTAACAAGGACAGCGTGACAAGCAATGGGAATCTGGATGCAGCCCAAAGCTGGGAACAAGCCACAGCATCACGGAGAGCTTTTTGCAATGGCACAGAGGAAGGGAAATCCACTCTTGCCTGGGTGCCCTGTGGCCCACGAGCAATGTGGCCACCGGCTCCCACTCCACCTGTCCCACAGAGGATGGAGGGACTCACCGGCGGGGGAATCCAGCTTGCCGTCCTGCAGAAGGTCCTGCCACACCTCTCTACCCAATCCCATGGGATTGAATGCCGTGAGGTGGGTGACTCCTGTGCCAGCCTGGGGAAGGGAAGAGCATCATCAGGGGCTGCTAGTTTTGAGGGGCAGATGTAAGCCCCACCCCCCAGCAACTCTGGGACCCCACACTCGTTCCCTGCATGTTGCCCAGCAATGCTAACTCCAAACCTACTCACCTGCTGTCCTGCAGGCTTCACCCATACCTTGTCTCCTGGCACCTACCCCCAAAGAGGGTGCCCTTGGGGAAGACATGTCCCCAGTTCCTGCTCCAGCGGTCAGGGAAGTGCTGAGGGCCAATGCTGACCCCAGGCCACCATACACCCACCCTTTACCAGCTGCCTGGAAGCAGTCCCCCCCCCGCGGCAGGAGCCACACCACCGGCGACAGCCCTTTACCTTCTCCCGGGCAGAGATGGCGAGGGTGAAGGGGTTCACACGTGTGCAGTGGTGCAGCAGGACTCCAGCAACCCGCTCACCCTCCTTCTCAAAGGTGAAGGGCTCATTCCAGTGCCCCCCACTCCTGTCCTCCTTTGTTCCTGTGCCATTCTGCAGGCTGAACATGATGGAGACATCCACGTCCTCATCCCTCTCATTCTCCACCTCCCAGATGAATACTCCCACTGGCAGGCTGGAGTCCTGGCAGAGACAGACAACACTGTGTATACAGCCGGTGCTCCATGGTTCCCTGTAAGAGCATCACTTTTTCTCCTGCTGCTGGAGAGACCACACAGGTTGCAGCAGGAGCAAGAGCACCAGGAACAACTTAGTCTTGGAATCCATAGCCAAGCTGGGAAGCAGTAGCAAGAGCAGAGGAATTTAGGGCACAAGCAATAGAAAAATCAGATCACAAGCCCTGGGCTAGCAAACCCCACAAAGGGCAACACACAGCTGGAAAGCAGAGTTTAAGGCTCAGAAGAGTGTCTCACCACCCATCTGCTCAACAGGTTGATACAGGCTCACGTGCTTTGCCAGGGTAAGAGGAAGGTCAGGCTTGTCAGCAGTGCGGCCTGCCGCCCTTGCCCGGGGCTGGGAGTGAGCAGGAGCAGCATGCAGGAACGGCGAGGCATCCCTTGCTGCCATCCCAAGCTTCCGCATTGCTGTGGGGGTTCCTCCTGCCTGGGAGCATTGCTGAGCTGAGACACGTTGGAAATGTTGGGAAAGCCCGGCTGGGAAAGCCCAGCTAATAAGCAGCTCTTCCTTTGAGGATGTCAGGCAAAAGCCAGATAAAACACCCTCAGGAACAACCAGCTGACCAGTCAACCCACAAATACAGGCTAAGCGTTTCCCAAAATGCTACCACCATCCGGTGGCAGTAAGGCCGCAGCTCTGGACCTGCCATTCCGGGTGGACGGGAGCTGGGATGGTCACAGGACAAAACCAAAGGCAGGCAACAAGTAGTACAAAGAGTCAAAGCATAGGTCAGAGGGGGAAGGAGCAGCTGCCAGAACTAAGCACAAGGAAAAAAAAGATAACCCTTCCAGCACCAACTGCCTCAGGAGAGGCAAAGCCTCACAGGGTCCCACTGCTACTAGGGACAAGGTCTTAGGACAGAAGAGATCAGGCTAGGAAAGAACATTAAGGTGGCGAGCCTGGTCACCTTCAGGCAACAGTTGGCTAGGCAAGAGGGACAAGAAACTCCTCTACTGCAGCATCCCCGGGGGCACAGGCGATGCTCAGGGGTCAGAAACTCAGCAGCTCCAAGCCACCGCTACCAAAAAGGAACACGCGGATCATCACACAGTACAGCCCTGTCTCTGCTGCGCCAATCCTCTCCCCTCTCCCGTGCAGGCAGCTCTGCCACATCCCTGCCAGCCTGCTCCACAGGAGCTGCGCTGCTGCGGGGCAGTGCAGCCCAGTGCTCCCAGGGGACAGGCTGCAACCAGAGCAGAGCCACCACCTAATACCACGACCTACCTCATAGTCATGGGGGATGACAGGAGAGACCTGACGGCAAGTGAGCACCACGTTTTGCCCCGGCAGCTCATAGACCATCCAGGCACGGGGATATAGGGCATGGTAGAAGGCATAGTGGCCACAGTAGCCCCAGTTCCAGCCCTGCAGAGTACTGGGTCTCTCCACAGACAGGACCTGCTGGTAAACTGTCTGCCCTTTGCAACGCAGGCACACTGTGAACTGGGGAAGAGAGGAGCACAGGGAGAGGATGAGATGAGCCCAAAAGCAGATGCCTCAAACACCCAGGCTGCTCCAGTGCTGCTCGCAGCCCTTGCAGACCCTGCCGCACCTACCTGGTCGGCGATGACTGTTTCGTAGTGATAAATGCCAGGGTTCAGCTGCCAGCGGCAGAACTCTCCCCGCCAGCCTCGGGTGATGGTGCCTCCCCCGATCCCGCCCAGTGGGCACCCTGGCAAAGACACCAGAAATTAGCACCCCCATTCTTCCCCATGGTGGGATCTCAAGGACCCCCCACACACACAGCTCGAGGGGCCCCTCAGCACTGCCCATACCAGAGAAGCTCCTCAACCCACTCCCTGCTCTAGCACCTTGACGGCCCCGTGTGAATCCCTGCCCACCCAGCACACTGGGCATTGCACCACCCCAGTGCCAAAACTGGAGGCTGACCATAGATCTGCTGCAGAGGAACGGCACACAAGAGGTCAATGAAGGCAGATTTCTTCTCTATGCGGGTCTTCTTGTACCACCACCTGAAGTAGCTGTAAGGGAAAGAGAGGTATGAGGGAAGAAGGGAGCAGGCATCACTGTCCCTTCAGTGTCACTGGGCAGGACGTGACCAGCATGCGTTGCAGCTGCCCCTCTTGTAGGGATGTACAACAGGAACCTGTGTCCCAGGGTGCGTGTTATCAGTCAGCAGACACGAGCAAGCAGAGCTCAGGCAGCTCAGGGCTGCCTGCAAGGGCACAGCATGAAAACAGAGTGCTCCAATATCCGAGAGCAGGGCTCCAAGCTCGTGCAGGGGCAGGAGGCTCTTCCAGATGCCCGTGGAGAAGTAGGAATGCACACGAGGACCACCACCACCTCCATGACTGGTAGGTCACATCCTGCTAAGGAAGGCCTGGGAGCAGAGGCACAAGCCCAGAGAAGCCATATGCTGCTCCAGGAGCATGAGCCTTGCTCTTCCACCTCCACGTCCCCATTGTCACACACAGCCCTGCCACATCCCCGAGGGCAGATGGCACAGGGCAGCCTTGCTCTGGGAGAGGTGATGCTTGCTGTCTGCAGCTGGCAGGATCCTGGGGACTCACCTGCACCCACAGGACAGCTGTGCAGCCAGGCACTACCCATCAGATAATTTCTCACCCAAAGGCCTGGGAATCGAGAGACACCCAAACAGGAGCACACCCACACCTGGGTGTGCCGACACCACTCCGGGCAAAAGGTGCAGGGCTGGGCTCCAAGCCGGAGCTCGTAAAGGCCTGGCTTTTGCTAATGAACTGCCCCAAGTTAAATCTTCCACGTGGAGACAATTAGCATATGGAAACCAGTTACCAGACCAGAAGAAGCTGCTGAACTTCCCCCAGCGAACAGACAGGCAAGACCCAAGCTGGGTGGCGGGGGGAATGGAAGCTGCTGGGGTGGGCAGTGTGCCTGAGCAACCTCCGGGCACCCACACTGTACTGCTGGGCAGGGAAAGCCACCCCAGCCAGGAGCACACAGCCTGTCCCGCTCCGAAGGCTCGTGGGATGTGATGGGAAACGGTTTAGCACAAATCCCCTGGGACATTGTACTCCCAGGAGCAAGGGGGAGAGGCTCTTCCATGACCCGCCCCCCCTGCTCCTACACATTCCTCCCCAACAAAAACAACCCACACTTGCATTTTTGGCTGCATGGTCACTGGATGTTCACCTTCATTCACCAACATGTAAGGTCCCCAAAACCCCCTCAGGGTAACATTTTTCGGGTTGCACTCTTGCAGGACCTGACTGCAGCCTACTCACCTTCACATTTGACTGTTTAAGGACATTTTGCCTGCAGAGGTCCAGGGCACCACAAGAACCAGCCTGTCCTGCACAACTGGCCTGAATCAGGGCCTGCTGTTATCTTTGAGCTACATCTGATGCGACTGCTCTTTTCCCAGTTGAGACAGCCCCAGCTTTATGCTGCCAAGGTAAAGTTTTGGCAATGTGCACTCTCTCTCTCTCTCAAGGAAATGATTTTTTTTTTTTTAACCCAGCGTCAGGGAACCAACCCAGCTGCTTCCCCAGCAGGTTTCTGGTGATGGAATATAAGGTGGCCAGGCTGTAGCACAGCCCTGAGGGACATCTCAGCTCCTTGGAAAGGAGGTGATGGAGGGATTTCAAAAAAGCAGTTTTTCCAAGAGCACGCAGTGAGAGAGGTTTGGGATTCACAGAGAGCCACTGCCCAAGCTGTTCTGCCATCTCAATAGCAAACTCTTCCCTGCCAGCTTCTCCCAAAATTGTGCAAGCTCAGAGAAGGTGGTCAGTACCCAGTTGCTGGCTGTTAACTGCTCTGCTGGGGCTGCAGAATAACCAGGATAAAGTCTTTGTGTTCTGCAACACCAAAAGCCCTGCCAGAGCTGGAGGGCATTTCTTTCCCTTAAAATTGGCAGTGGAATTAAAACCTGTTCAGACATCACCCAGCTGTTCCGGATCCGTGCCATGACCCCCCTCGCAGGGCACACCAGCCACCCCTGCGGAAACCTGCCCACATCTCTCCTCCTGCCCTGCCAGCCCCACCTCAGACGTCTGCACAACCTTTTCCTCCCAGGTTTGCAGCTGTGGGTGTCCTCACGAAGGATCTACCCTGCTGAGCCCCAGCTAATGAAAATCCCACCCCAGGGTTGTCAGCACCCCTGGCCATGTCACCTGCAGCAGGGGCTGGGGCTGCAGGAGAGGACACCCATCAGCCTGGGGTTTAACTCAACACGACACCACATCAACCCAGGATGCGGTGGCTCCTCTGCAGGTCCTAGACTTCTTCAGCCAAAGATGTGCAGCACCCCCAAGGCACAACCAGCCATCTTGGGACATACGAGTGCCTGCACCAGGTGATGTTGCACTTGATGCACCACGCCATGCCAGACTTTGAGAGCACCCCTGGCACGGGTGCCCCTGGGAGAGGGGTGGTGCTCATCATGGGTCATTTGGAAGAGGGCACACCAACCTGCAGGGCTCCAGAGGTCTAGATCCACGTGCCATGCCACAGGACTGAGCTCCAGGCTCCTCTTGCAGTACCAGCACCCAGGTTTCCATCAGCTGCCTGCCTCTGCCGAGCAGACGCATGGGTGCCCACCAACGCCAGGAGCATGCAGCCTCCCACACATCCTCACATCTCTGCATTAGCTGCCCTTCATCGGGCAACACCATTGCCCTTGGGGTTTAATTCAAATGCACACAGGTATTTCTTGCCACCATGGCCCTTCCTCTCCTCTGCTCTCTAGGCTGGAGTCTCCTTGCCAGGAAGCTTTGCCCTGCACAACTACTTTGAAATGACAACCAAATTACCTCCTAAAATTTGTACAGGGAAGAGGCAGTAGTTTGTCTTTTAGCTTGTTGTTTTTGAACTCTAAAACCTTCTTCTAAGACTGACACAAGCCACTTCCATTCTGGGAGTCCAATGAGAACAGGCCAGGAGTAGCTTCCCCAAGCCTGCACAGAGGTGGTCACCCCTCCTCCCCGCTCACCCTGCCAGGACTTCACACTCATCCCCAACCTGCCACAGTGGCTTTTCCAGCAGCTTTTATCTCCCATTCATGACCCACGTTCTCCCTTCTCTGATGCCCAGGCTCACGTCAGGACGTCTCAGGTCAGACTGGTGTGCCATGCACCCTGAAGCAGTCCGCTATCAGTCCCTTCATCAGGCTTTGCAGGAACCAGCTTTGCAAGCAGCAACCTCCAAGGACATCAAGCAGGAAAAAAAAAAAAAAACTCAGAAAATGGAGGCAGGAGACATAAAGCAAGCACAAGGAAATAAATCACGCTGTCATCGGTTTCAATGCTCAGCCTGATGGGTACACAAACACTGCCAACACCCGGGCAGCAGTTCTAAAGGTTAAAATAACACTGTTGTTTCCCACACACGTTTTTGCCGGTTACTTCCAGCTCACCCTGACGCAAAGTCAGGAGAAGTCCCCCTTCCCAAACCTGCCATAGCGCACAGCACTGCAAAATCCTCCCAGTTAACCTCGGGTTTAATCTCCACCGGCCGAAAGGCGCCTTACGCAAGGGGCTGAGCGGCTGACACCGGCCAGGGGAAGATGCGGCAACAGCGGGCACCAGCAGCAAGCCCCGGGGGTGGGAAAGGGGGGCCCTCCCCCCTAGAAGCGATGCCCCAAAGCCCCCCCAGCTCCTGCTGGACACACGAGCGCTGGGTGCCGTCCCTAAGCCAGATCGGCCCAGCCTGCGCCAGCGCTCCCGGTGCAGGCGCCGGGGAGGCGGGTGGGTGCGGGCGGAGCGGCTCCCCCCACACCGGGGCCTTTCCGCGATCCGCCGCGCTCTGACCTCCGTCTCCCGGGGCACCGCCGGTACCTCGCCGCTTCCCGACACCCCCACCCCCACCCCCCCCGCCTCTCCGCGGTGGTCCCGGTCCCCGTTTCCCCGCTCCCGTACCGCAAGCCGAGGCCGATGTGCCGCAGGACGTCGCGGAGCGGCACGTCGGCAGCGCCGTAGGGCTGCCGCGGCTCCTCGAAGCGGTGCGCCAGGCAGACCCGCCAGCCGGCCGCCGCCACGCCGCGGCCCCGCGCCGACCCTTCGTACCGCCGCACCAGCGGCCCCGCCGCCGCCTCCGCCGCCGCCGCCGCCGCCGCCGCCGCCATCGCCGCCCCCGCCCCGCGCGCGCCCTCTTCACCGCGCGCGCCGCCGCGCCACGCCCCGCCCCGCCCGTCCGTCTGTCCGTCCGTCCGTCCCCCCTCTCCCCCCCCCCCCCCCCCCCGGGGCACGGCGCCCCGCGCGCCGCCGAGCGCCTCCGGAAACCCGGGCCCGCCCCGCCGCCACCGGCGGTCCCGGGGGAGCCCCGCCCGAGCGTTGCCGAGCGGCGCCCGAGCCTTCCCGAGAGTTGCCGAGCCGAGCGCCGAGCGCTGCCGAGCGGCTCCCGAGAGTTGTCGGGAGCTGCCGCTTCCAGACCCGAACGCTGCCCGAGTGTTCCCGAGCGGCGGCCGAAAGTCGCCGAGCCGAGACCCGAGCGTTGCCGAACGGGCCCCGAGCCCCGCCGAGCGGCTGAGGGGAAGCCGGGCCCGGAGCGGCGAGCGGGGCCTGTGCCGGGCGGTGAGTGGGGACGGGGCGGCGGGGGCGGCTGGGGCGGGGGCGGGCGGTCCAGTTGTGTCCCCGGTGGGTGTTCACGTCTGTGTGCTTGCGGTCGGGGCCGCCCCGGAGTCCCCCGGGTTAGGGTGGTGGGGCTGTCGGCTGTCCCTCACCCCTCGCAGTATGTCCTCTGGGGGAGGGAGGGGGGCGCAGTGCATATAGGTGCATGGCCAGGGCTGTGCGCGTTCTCCCAGCACGCGCGCGTGTGTGTGTGTGTGTGTAAGGTCAGGGCCGTCTCTGCCCCGCCCCCTCAGTGTGTGTATGTATATGGCGGGGGCTGGCTTCCCCACACACACCCTGTGTGTAAGGCGGGGGCCGTTTGCCTCTGCGTGTGTGTGCAAGGCCAGGGCTGCCCCTCACCCCTGTACGTGTCTGTGTGCTGCGTCTAGAGACGGGGCTCGCTCTGTCCTCCCCCATGTGCACATGCCCAGCTTGGCTGTTGCCATTCCCCCTCTTACTCTGTGCCCACTGTTGGTTAGGGTTTGTTTTTTTTTTTTTTTTTTGGCAGGTGCGCAGGCAGGACTGTCCAAGCCATGATCGAGGTGTTGGCCAAGCTGGGCCGTGGGCCCGTCTTCCTGGCAGGGGAGGTACTTGAGTGTGTGATCACTTTCACCAACCCCTTATCGGCCTCGTCTACCTCCGCCAGCAGGTAGGGCAGCTTGTACTGGTGGGCTTTTCTGTGCATGAAGCCTCAGAGCAGCAGAGCTGTCTGGGTCTCTCCAGAGGGAACGGCCCTCCGTCCCTCCTGAGGAGCCAGATGTAGTCATGGCTGGGTTGTGGGGCAATGGTGCCAGCTCAGCCACGGGTGACTTCCCTGCCCGAGGTACTTCCTTAATGGTGCTTTGCGCCGTCGCTGTTTCAGGGCTGAAACTGAGGTAATTCTTCTGGTTTTCTGGCCCCAAGAAAGAGACAAGAAAAAAAAGTATGCAGTTAGAGGTGCTCTTAACTGCCTTTCAGGTGAGCCCTCAGCGACAGGGTTGCTGACGGAAAATGAAGCCAAACTGGCTGTCAGAATGGGATATCTAGTTTCACCAGGGTGGAAGTCTCACAGAGCAACATCCAGACAATGTCATTATTTCATCTGTTCACGGAAGGAGCTCTCTCTGTCCAGCAGTGCACTGATATAGCAGTGTGATTCCTGCCTCCAGAGCTGGCAGGCAAAGGGGCGAACACAGCCCAAAGGAAAGAGTCAGCCTTCAGTGACAGCATTTTCTGTGGCCCAGCCTTTGAGCACTGCGTCTCCCCTTATCATTACTGTGCCCGAAATAGGTGTTGAGGAAACGTGAGAAAATGGGAGCTTCCTGTATTGGCTCACAGGGGGTGACTCTACATTGTAAGTAGTCACCTGAAGCCTCCGTGTCTGCTGAGTGTGCGGCCTTGTCTGAGTCTCCAGAGGGTGGAGAGTGTTTTCTTATCTTGAGCCCTTCCTGGGAAGTGTCAGGTTCAGCACCTTTTCATCACCGGTACACATTTCACACGTGATTGTTTTGGTGGACCCACTTCCAGCGCTTGCAGTCTCAGCAGCAGCAAAGCAGTCTTTTGTATTACTGCAGCTGGGCTTCTTTGTTTATAGCCTTCCTTAACTTTCCATCTTTTCTTCCTGGTTCTTCTTGCCTGCTGAATTCAGCTTTCAATTTCAGCTGTGGTGTAAGCATCTAGCTTTCTGGAGTTTTGTCTTGTGCAGTGACAGTGCTGTTTTTCCGAGTTCTGAAACATGTGGGACTGCAAGTGTACCTGGTGGAGCTGTTTTGGAGGCTCGCAGCACAGTTACAGGAGCTTCATTTGGGAACTACGGGTGTGTCGTGGTCTGTAGAAAACTGCCTCTTGGAAAAAGGAAAGTTTTTAAAATAAAAAAGCAGGTGACCAAACTGACGAGACCTAGCTAAGGCACATGCGTGGCAATACTGGATAAATTAGTGATTTGGAAATAGAAGCTGTGGGTTGTGTAAATGCAGGAGCCAGATCAAAGCGCAGTCACTGCAACAGGCAGACAGACCTGTCAGGGACTAGAAGCTTTCAGGGCTGGCAAAAGCTGCAGCACAGGCGGAGGAACTGAGAAGCACGCTTTTCAAGCATAGGGACAGAACTGAAGGACAGTAAGTAAATGGCAGAAAGTGTATTTGATTGTTGGTATGAGGTGTACAAGAAACAAAACTCTTTTGTGCAAAGGCTGCTTGGAGCACGGCCCTTGTGGGCTACAGGAGTTGTAGGGGGAGGTGAGAGAGGAGGGAAGCGACCTCAGTAACAGCGCAGGATCCTTTTGTGCCCTGCCAGCTGGACAAGCCAGGCCTGCTGGTAGGAAAGAACATGCAAATTTTGTTTGAGCGTCTGGTTAAAAAATGAGAACAATCCAGTGGTATATTGTTCGGTGACACTGAAAAAAAAAAAAAAAAAAGATTCAAAATATGGTGTTTGAAGGTACTGTAATCATGCTAAGCTTATATCAAATTAGTAAACAGTGTCTCTTAAGCAAGAGCATTTCTCTGTTTCCATGTAACAGATACCTTAGGACAGAAAACTACACAGCTGTGCTAATGGAGGAGCCATGCTGGTACTTCTGAAGATACAGAATTACAATTGTGGGGTTAGAGGTAACTGGGTAGAGTAACCAACATGTGTTTGGGTAAAGGCAGCCAACACATACAAAAGATCAAATAGTGCGTTGTTAGTCAGCTGAAACAAATGCAGCACGCCTTTTTCTCTGGTTTGTCTTGACGTTTAAGATGTCTAGACATATCTCTGATGTGTCACATCAAGAGATACCTCTGTGCCACAGAAAATCCCTGTGCCACCTAAAACTCAGGTGTCGGTGCTTACTAATTAGATCATGATGTTAGAAAATGCCAGAGGAACCACGCACTGGCTAAGTTAATAAGACTGCTATTGAAATAAAAATAGAAGTGTTTTGGAAACTCAAAGGTGTCAGTAATGCCGTGGAAAATGCCCTGTGGAATGGCTGGAGCCCTAGCAGAGTCCAAAACATGCGAGCGTTTTTCAGGCTGGATGCAACCAATTCTTGTGGCTGTACAGAGAAGCATCAGAGTAACACCTTTGCTTTCCCTATATAGCTGTTAGCAAATTCCTTGCATCAGGAGAAAATAGGTCCTTATGAAGGACCTAGAAACACGCTTCTCCGGTCTGACACAACCAGAGGTTGATGTTCTTGAGGGGGATGGTGCTGTGGGCAGGGTCAGCTGAAACCAGGGTTGCAGATATTTGTTGCTTTTGAATTTGCCCACTTCCCTGATAGTTGTATTATTACTGGAGGCACCTTGGCGTGCTGCTCTTTGTGTCGCTTCTGGCTTGGGATTTAGCTCTTCATGGCTAAAAGTCCTCTGCCAGCCCATGCAGGACAGCTAGAGATGTCCTCTCAAGAGTGCAGTCTGTGGCCAGCCTCAAGCCGTAGGTGATGAGAAAGAAGACCAAGTAAGTAAGGCTGTGGACCGGATCTCAGGATGCTTGACCTCAACGTGTTTGCTGGAAGGTCCCTGTGAGGTTTTGCACAGGCCAACTTGTGTCGGTCGCTGTGGAAGGGGTGGCTGCTGACCTGCACTGCTTGCTGTTTTCTGCCACGTGTGTATAGTGGCCTTCTCAGGGCAGGGGTGCTTCCTCACTCCCTGTCTGTGCTGCGCCCAGGGTGGTGTGGCTTAGACTGTGAATATTGCTGCTAAACAAGAGCCCTCAGGCCACAGAGCCAGGCCTTGGGTGAAACTGCCTGTCAGCAGCTGGGGTGGAATTGGCTTCAGGTCAGCACCCCAGCTCGAACTTGCTCCAAAAGCTTGTTTGGAGGGGAGGCTGTGAGAGCGGCTTCGGTGACGGTGAAGCAAGGCCTTCTTCCTTCCAGACAAGCAGTCCCGCATGGAGCTGAGCAGCAAGAGCTGCTCTTCTCCCAATTCATGCTTGCTGTAATCCAGGTTTAAAGTACAGACATGAGTATTTCTCTTCTTTGCTCTCAGTGAGATGCTGGCGTGGGCCAGCGCCCAGATCCACTGCCAGTTTCATGCCAGCGAGAACCGGGTAGCGCTCCCTCCCTCTGACGGCAGCAAGCATGACGTGCAGGCAGAGAACGAGACTGTCTTCGTCCCCAACAGAGGTGAGTGCTACTCCTGTAACCCCAGGTAGGGATGGTAAGAGCACAGCAAGCGGGAGTCAAGCAGGCTATAATGTGTGTCTTGAGGGCAGCACACTTAGAGGGCAGTGGGAAGTCCATGTTGCTTTCCTTCTGTAATTCCCTGGTGATGGCTGCTGCAGGACCCTGTTAATGTTGAGATCAGAGTGGCACTAGCTTGGAGCAAAACATGAAGGTTGTCTGTCCAGCTGTTCAGAGAATGTCTCATGAAGTGAGCAGGGCATGAGATGTTTCCTCCTCGGCCCCTTCTCCTCCTCATTTCCCCCACCATGAAGATAAGGCCCAGCTGGCCTGGGTGCAGTGAGTGCCCCCCTCAGCCTGGGCCCCGAGGGTGGGCAGCATTCACGTGGTGGTTCTTCTCTTCCAGGAGAGCGGGGTCAGTGTATCCTGTCCACCCCACCGAAGATTCTCTTCTGTGACTTGCGACTGGACCCTGGAGAGTCAAAGTCCTGTGAGTCCTGTCTTCTCTTACCCCACTCAGAGAGCTCACCTCTGGGGAGCCCCGTGCTCACAGCTGGCTTTGCAGCCCTGAGGGCTGCAAGTGGGAGACCCCGGTGCTTGCAGAAGGCAAGGAGCCTTGCTGGGAGCATGAGTGCTAAGGAACTGCTGCATCATCCAGAGTCTGTTCTCCACCATCTGAGGGCTGTGTTCTGCAAAGTGTCCCTCAGTCCTGCCCCTGGCCCACAACCTTTGCCGCAGGTCTGTTGTGTAGCTGTGAGGCATAAACTGTTTTGAAATGCCTGGCTGCATCCGAAGGAACAGTTACTCACACCTGCATTTCCTTGCCTTTATTTCTTCGGCCACGCTGGAGTATTCTTGGCATTTAGGCTGGCATCCTCTGAAGGTCTGATCTTCCTCTTCAGGTTGTGGCTGTCTTCAACATTGCAGTCTTCTGCCTGTTCTAGATTTCCTGCTGTGAAAGTGAGCACTTCTCATCTCTGCGCAAAGCTCTCCACGTCTCCAAAGCCCTCAAACAGTGTCCTTCCCAGTGGGTCCTCTTTAAGCTCTCCTTCATCACTACTTTCCCTTTTGTTGTTCAGAGAACTTTTTATCCTTTTCACAAGGAATTTGCAGCAGCTCATTTTCATTGTTCCAGGCAGCTTCCACCTGAGTAGACAGCTGTGAAAATACAAGTCTGTGCTGTTGTCCCTTGATCGGTGGCTGTGTCACCCAGCCTGTCAGTTCATGTCAGATCTCCTTTGCATTCCAGTGGCCTGTGGTCCAGCTGCAGCATAATGTTAGGCATTGCGGCCTGGGTGTGGAGAGCTCCCTTGGGTTGTCCTAGGGATCTTCTGGGAACAGTTGACAAAAGACCTCTCTAGTCACAGAGCAAAGGGAGCGGAGAGGCAGTGCCTGTGGTGGAGGGGGCTCCGCTGGAGCACTGGGCTTTGGGGAGGTGAGAGGAGAGCTGCAAGTGAGACCACGGAGCCACGGGCTGTGACGTGCTGGTTTTGAATCTGGGATCTCCCATCTTTCTAGGCTTGGAGGGGCCCGACGGGAGGGAAAAGCGGACAGGGAGGAACCAACCTGGCTTGGCTAGGTGGTTAGCGGGGTGAGGCAGTGCTGTCTGGGGCTGTCTCCTGAACTGCAAAGCCTTTTGTCTGAGCACCTTTAGTTATTTACTTACTGTTCCACAGCAGCATGCAGGGGAAGGGAGCTGGCCCTGTCACGTCCGAGCCAAGGTCCCCTGTGCTTCATAAAAGTGGACACACGGTCACCTTCCGGTGGCTGGGATGGATTGAGAGGATTTCCCCACGCGCTGGCTTTGCAAGCAGAAGCTGTTCAGCCCCCGGCTAAGCTGGTGATAGTCTGTCCTTCCCAGTGATATTATCTGTGTGTATCCACTCTGCCACTGGGTGACACTGGCACAAGCAGCCTGCATCTGCCTCGCGCTTGGATGCAGCTCCATAGGAAGGACACAAACTCTTCTACACTTCGGGGTTCCTTGGCTGTATATCACAGCCTTTCCCCTTGGCTGTGTGAGGTACCCATTGCACGTGTCTTGTGTGATGCTTCTGCGTGTGGCACTGGGCTTTTTAGCAGTGAAACCCCTGTATTCACAGCTCTGTCTCTTCCAGGCTGCTCACTTTGATCCTGTCAGCCTGTGGTGCTGCTCCTCTCACACGAGACTGCAGCTGGCACGCATGCAGATCATTCCTGGGGGCTACTGCCAGCTCCGTGGAGGCAGAGTTAAGGCTGTGTGGGTGTGTATCTTAATTCTTCATTTCCTGTTTTTCAGAAGTTTCTAGTTTTTCTGCACAGTTTGGAAAGGCAAAAAAACCCAAGAAATCTTAATTCTGCTTCAGAAAAGCACTATGTTATTAAACTGTAGCCTGAGCTGGCACATATAGCTACAGTTGTGTCAGGATGTCCCTTGATAAAAGGCCTTGTTTTCAGGTGCCAACCAGCTTACTCCGCAATATCTTCCCCTTGTTAGGGTGCCTATATATTGAAGTTGATTTGCCTCCCATCCCTTTGACACAATGCCCAAACTGAGCTCTTTAAATTTGTCACCATAAAACATTTTCTCAAGCCCTCGGGTCATTTCTGTGGCTGTTCTTGCCTCCTCTCCAGTTTTGTAATACCTTTAAATATTTGGTAGATCACAGAGAGGGGAGGAAATGGAAGCAGCCTGGACACGGGCCGCAAGCCCAGCCAGAGGGTACAGCGGGTGGGTAAGGAAGGCATTTGTAGTGCCAGGAATGTGTTTCCTTCTGGGATGCGCATGGAAGCTGGGACTTCCCAAATCTTGGCATTCCTGTGCCAGGTAGCAAACCACTCATCCTCCTCAGACAGCAGTGGTCTCTGCTCAGATAATCCTCACTGGGCATCAAGGTCTTTGTGAGCATTCTTCTTAAGTCTGTGTGCTTCTTTGGAAACACCTAATTTTCCTCCCCATCAGGACAGTACTCGGCTTTATCTGCACCCAGGTCCAGCCTTGTGTTTTCGAGGTGTGACAGCCTGTGGATGCTACACAGTAGCACGGGCTTTTTTCTTCCTTCCAGTCCTCTTATTTTAAATCTAGAAGTTATATTTAAAATGTAACCCTAGCTTTTAATCTAAGCCTCAATGTTTAGGATGTGCCAGACATGGGGAAGGATCTGTGGTTTCACAGCAGGATGCTTCCCTTCCTCTGGCAGGGCGTATCTGCGTTGGGGTGGGCCAGCCAGAGAGGTGGAGACTTTCCACAGTTCACTGTTTGCGCCTTTCTTATTATACAGCGTGCGGTTTGGGAAGGCTGCAGAAGTGTTCCTGCTGGGTCGGGAAGCGTTGGGGTTTGTGTGGGTGCCAAGGGGCTTTGAGAGGGCTGAATGTGGTGTAAAGCCAGGCCCTGGCATCTCAGAGGTCTCGGAGTCAGAGTCTTTGTGGTCTAAGTCATCAGTCTGTCAAGGGGGATACGCCACGTGTTGTTGTGAAGGTCCCTTAATTGTTTCTTGGCCATTTAGACCCAGTGCTTCAGAGGAAAACACAGGAAGAAACTGATTTTTGTTGCTGAGTCTGGGGTTTGTGTAAAGTGAATATCAAAAGAGGCATGAGGTATTGATCGGCACCTCTCTGCCGCATGAGCCCCGAGGAAGCTGCCGCGTGTGACTGCGTCGTGAAAGTGGCATGCAGAGGAAGTGCGCAGAGGCAAATTCAGGTTGAACTCGTGATGAGTAAGTTTAGCTCTCAAGTGTTTGTGTTCCTGGATTTTACATCTTTCACATTCTTTTGAGGCAGAGTTTGTGCGTGTGGTTGTATGTGCTGGAAGCAACGTCTGGATGACGGCGCCTGCGACGTGAGGAGCAGTGCGCTTGTGCAGGGAGGCTGGGGATGTGCTTGGCCTGCTGTGGGAAAGAGGAGGTGGCAGAAAGTACCAGGCATTGTCCCTATCTCGGCGCCGCTGCTGGTCCTAACCCTTGGTGCAGGGACCCTGCAAGCGACAGCTACGGGAGCTTCCTTTTCGCCTTGGAAAGCGGTCTTTTCTCCGCTCCTTGCAGATTCGTACAGTGAGACGCTGCCCATAGATGGCCCTCCCTCTTTCCGGGGACAGTCGGTGAAGTACGTGTACAAGCTGACCATCGGCTGCCAGCGTGTCAACTCCCCCATCAAGCTCCTGCGTGTACCCTTCCGTGTCCTCGTGCTGCACGGTAAGGCCATGCGCTGCCCTCCCTGCAGGCACAGGCCTGGCTGCACCCCGCCCTGCTGACACTCTCGCCTTCTCCCCAGGGCTCAAGGATTACCAGTTCCCACAGGATGAGGCCGTTGCGCCCTCAAACCCCTTCCTGGAGGAGGAGGAGGGCTTGAAGAAAGACTCTCGCCTGGCGGACCTGGCGACAGAACTGCTCATGGTGGCCACCTCCCGACGCAGCCTGCGTAGGTCATATCCCCTGCTAGAACCTGATGTTCTAGCCTGGGCGTGAAGCATAGCTTGGGGGTCCGTGCAAAAATCTCTCGCTGACAAAGCAATGCTCCAACTGGGGCTGTGGAACAGCTCCATCAGGCTCTGTTTCCCATGGGCTCCTCCCAGCCAGTCTCAGTCTCTTCCTAGTTCAGCTCGAGACACCCTCTCCTCAGCATATCACAGCCAGCGTGTGGTTTGCTCTCGCTCACTGCAGACGTTTCCCAAAGAGAATGCTGCCTCCAGGGGCTGTCCTTCACACCCAAGCAGCAGGCATGGGGTCATGTCTGCTGGGCTCTGTGATTAACCCAGAGCACTGTATGGAGCAGAGCCTCATCCTACCACAACCCTTTCCCCGCTTATTCTTGCTCCACAGACCTGTATAACATCAGCAACACTCGTGGCAAAGTGGGGTCATTCTGCATCTTTAAGACCGTGTATAAGATTGGAGAGGATGTCATTGGGACCTTTAACTTCTCGGAGGGAGACATCCCATGTCTGCAGGTCAGTGCTGGCTTCAGGGTTGCTGTGGGGAGAGGCACAGGTTTTGCGCTGGGAAGAGGGAGGAGGCATTGGGGTGACCCTGGACTGCTGTGGAGTTTCTAGTGAGGGTTTCTAGTGGGACCCAGCTGGGCTCCCCCTGGGGTGTGGGGTGGGGAAGGGCTCCATTTCTGAGCTCGTTTGGGAAACGGAGGCCTCGGGGCTTTGTGCCCGCGCTCTGTGAGGTTGTGTGGTTGTGAGAGCGAGCACCCTGCCGATGGCCCTGCAGTTCTCAGTGAGCCTGCAGACGGAGGAGAGCATCCAGGAGGAGTTCCAGCGCCGGCGGGGACAGCCCGTCTCCTTCAGCACGCACGCCCGCCATCAGGAGGCCTGCCTGCACACAGCCCAGAGCAGCTTCAGCCTGCCCATCCCGCTCAGCTCTACCCCAGGGTTCACCACCAACATCGGTTAGTGGCCACCGGGGAAGGGACCCACCCCTGCTTGTCTCTGCAGGACTTCCATGTCCCCAGCCCTTGCCAGGACAGCCAGCGCTGAGGCAGCTGCTGTCCCCATCCCTTGTGGTGTTGGCTGCTAACCCCCCTCTCGCCCACAGTGTCCCTGAAGTGGAGGCTGCACTTTGAGTTTGTGACCTCCGGGGAGTCGGCGGGAACTTGCTTGGTTCGTGGGAGCCAGTCGGAGGCCGTCACCTGGACTGGGGTGGAGCAGATGGAAGTAGACACTTTCAGCTGGGACTTGCCCATCAAAGTCCTTCCCACCAACCCCATCCTGGCTTCCTACGTATCTCAGTTCTCCAGCACTAACTCCATCACCATCTGAAGCGGGGAGAGCCGGTGCCACTGGTGGGAAGGGCAGGCAGGACTGTCACTGGCATGCTGAGGGGCACGCATCCCAACGTGTCCTTGGGTTTGTCTGCGACACCCAGGTGGGCACCGAGCAAGTCTGTCCGTGGTGTCTTATGCTACAGCCCTTGGCTGGGAGATGGACCCGTCCTGCTTGGGTGAAGGTGTAAATCCCAGGACTCACCAAAAAGAAATCTGCCTCCCAGAGAACAGCCCAACGTGCCTTTATGCCATGAGGGGCTTCCAAGAGGGAAGGGCCCAGCCCAGGGAAAGGAGAGGGAAGCTCTACCAGCAAAGCGCCATGCCAGCCTTGGGTGAAGGCCATCCTCCTTACAGAGACCCCACAAACAGAGGTCTGGCATCCAGGCGAGGCACGCTGGTCCCCTGGGCTGGGTGAGAGCCTGCTCTCCTGCCCCTGGCACGCATCCTGCCTCTTGTGAAGGGTGTCCCGTATGCACAGCCCAGCACCCCCGCTACCCTCACCCAGAGGAGGCAGGTCCTGGCAGGTGGGCCCCTCTCTGCCGGCACGTGCTGGTGTCCTGGATGTGGCCGCACGCCGTGGCAGCACAGTTGTGATGATCCAAACCAGAGAAGAGCTCAGCGCCTGGGCTGTTCTCTGCTGGTGCTCCTGGGCCTGAGGGCATCCTGCTGCTCTCGGGATTCTTGGGGAGCTGGAGTGAATGCCTGCTGCGCATTCAGGAGCTGGGATGGAGGTCTCCCTGCTCAACAGCCAGCTCCCCGTTTCTACCAGACCTTCCAAAGAGTTTTCCTCTTTGCATGGAAACCTAATAAACATCCGAAAGTGCAAAACTCAGCCTTCCCAAGAGTTTTATCCCTGCACCGTTCCTGGTGGTGGACGCAGCCCGCCCGGCATGCCAGTCACAGGCAGGAGACCTCCTCTTTGTTTAATACATTTATTGCAAGAACAGAAACATCTACACAAGGCTCTGCACAACACAGGCATGGCACCGGCTGGGGCAGGCTGCCAGAGGGGCCAGCTCCGCCCTGCCACGTGCGGATTGCTTCAGCTCCCCAAACCCTGGCAGGGCACCCAGCTCCCTGCCCCGCTCCCCTGGGGCTGGGGCTGGGGGGGGGGGGGCGGTGTGTGTGTGCTCCCTTGGGGACATCTTCTAGTGGTTCCCCCCGCTCTGCCGTCCGCCCCGGGCTGGCTCCGTTGCAGTGTTGCCCAGGGCTGGCCTGCAGTGCCGGGGACCCCCTCTGGCACCGGGAGCTGCGGGAGCAGGGGCGTTAGTGGTTCCAGAGGTGGGTTGTGCCCCTCGTGCTCCGGGGCAGAGAAGGGGCCGGCCGGGGTGTGTGGGTCCTGCACGAAGGGCCTTGGTGCTCCCCGGTGAGCTCCCAGCAGCTGCCGTGCAGGGGGACGGGGGTCTGAGTGGGAGGGGGGAGCTGCTTAGCTCGAGGCTGGATGCGGGAGCACCAAGACCGTCTCGATGGCAGGTTGATGTCGTCCCGTAGCCCTTTCGTTAGTAGCTGGAGGCTTCCTGCCCACCTGGGAGGAGATCCCATAGGATCTGCGTTCCCATGGTGTGCAGGGCATCTCGCGGGGAGGGGGCCCCGGTTCGTTTCGGGAAGCTGAAGGCGGAAGCAAAGCTGTACTGTGGCAGCGCTAGGGTGTACGTGTTAGCTCGGTACCATGCTGTGTGGATAGTGGTTTCCCTCAAAGGTGGCGGCAGTGATGTCTCTACAGGATCGGGCAGGTCTGGAGCATGCGGGAGGTTGTGCTCTGGAGGAGGGCGGATGATGCCGGGGGCGGGCGCGGGGCGCTGCAGAGCCTCTATCTGCTCAGCCCCGCGCCCAGCACCTTGTTGCTCAGGGGCTCGGGGGTGCCGGCCGAGCCCCACTCGTGCTCCATGCTCTTCACGCAGGGCAGGTTGGGGTTGGCCTTCTGCACCACCGAGATCTGGCAGGTCTGCGAGTCGTAATGGGCCTCGCACCAGTCGGGGAAGTCAATGGGGTGCTGGGTGCTGCGGGAGAGGGCACAGAGCCGTCAGCTCCCCCTGGTTCGTGCCAGGGGGCTGCTGGCGGGGCCGGGTGGCTTCCTCTGCTGCCAGCCCCCCAGCAGGAATGTCTCCCAGGCCAGTTCAGGCAGGCTGGGTCACAGCTCCTGGCACGTTTGGGCAACCTCGCTGTGCTGAGACACCCCCGGCCCTTCCTTTGTCTCCCCGACTCACCCCACCACCCTCAACAACACCCCGGCGGGCTCCTGCCCGCCTGTGTCCCGTGTCCCCCATGTTCTGTCGCCCCACGGCCCCCCAGGGGTGACATTTTCTCGGCTGTGTTTGCAGCCACCAGACCCACACAACCTCCTCCCCGCTGCAGGGCAGCACGGCCGGCAGTAGCCCACCCCCCCAGCGCCCCTCGGCCCCTCACTCACGTCTCGCAGCACCCCACGCCGATGGGGTGCAGGCAGGTGCAGAGCAGGCAGTTGGTGCTCAGCCACGACTCCCCCAGGGAGAACTGCTTCCCCTCGTACTCGCAGGGAGCTGCAAAGAAAATGGTGGTGATGAGCACACGTGGGCCTGCGCTGAGAAGGGTGTGGGAGCCTCCGTGGCACCCCCTGTGCCCTGAAAGAGGGGACAGGGGGGGCATCATGACCTCCCACCCACCCTACGGTGTGAAAGATAATTGGTGGCCTCTCCACCACACGGCAGATATGGGATGCCCGGGCATCTGCCAAGGGCGATGCTCCCATCCGTCCTCTCCTGGTCGTGCCCTGTGGCTTTCCCCACCACCCTGGGGCCCTAGGGCAGAGACAAGTGGCTCTCGCTACCCTGGAGAGGGCATATCCTGCGCCCCTTTGGGGTCTGAGCATCTCTGCAGCCCTGGAAGGGGGCAGCAGACGAAAGATGGGCAGCCCTCCTCCCTCTGCTTCTAGTCCTGCACACACAGCCCCAGCCGGGCTCCTGCCAGCAGCTCTTCGTGGCCCAGCGAGCTGTTTCTCAGCCAGAGCCCTGGGGAGCTGTTCTGTGGTTTATAGACTGCTCCTTCCACTCATCACTGGCCCACGATCACGCTCCTGAGCTCAGCGCAGTCCCTTCTGCGCTTCGCAGGCACGCAGGGCAGAGCCCCGCCGGCCCAGGGAAAGCTGAGGCCTCCTCTTCCCATTGCTCGCTTCCCATCTCACCTCCCCACCTACCTTTAGCCTGGAAGTAGCATTTGGCCTGGGAGCCTGGCAGCTGGAGGAGGAGGGAGAGCAGCAGGCAAAGCCTGCCCCAAGCACACCCCATCTTCTGCGGTTGCATGGCCATGGCCGGCGTTGAGCTGGGCTTCTTTGCCGAGGTTGCCTTGCTTCTCTATTGCCTTTTCTCCTTTCCCTTCTCTTTCTCTCTTTCCCTCTCTCTCTCTCTCTCTCTCTCTGCCTTTTTAATGCTCTTCCCCTGATCCCAACAAGAGATATTTATAAAGTTCAGCTTTACGACCCTGGCCACCAGCTGTGCCCCACTGGAAAAGTTGTAAAACTCATTTCCTGATTTGAAAGGCATGAAAACAAGAGGTAGGATCAAGATTTTTAACAAGCTGTGAAAAGCTGATTCATGCCCTCCAGAAATGTCTCCAGTTGGAAGCCCCTGTGGGTGCAAGGCTCTGCAGTGAGGGGAGATCCAAGGGACCCCAGCGGGGTTGCCCTCGGCAGGGTGGAGAGCGTGCAAGCGGCAAGCTCAGGAGACCCTGGCCCCCAACCAGGAGAGCTCCAGGCTCCCCTCTGGTCACGCTGAGCCATCTCTGATCCTTCGCAGCAGCCGAGGTTTAGGGAACATCCCACCTCACAGAGACCGGAGCAGCACAGGCGTCCTGTCAACAACCAGCGTGGGATGCAGCGGCACCATCCTCAGTGGGGATGGAGATGCTCGCACCCAGCTCCTGGGTACCACAGCGAGGCAATTTCACCCCATCTGCGCCGCAGCCGTGCCTGGCTTGTGGCCGTGCATGGGCTGGGAGTGGCAGTGGGACTTTTTGGCCAAGAGCAGGCAGTACAGTGATTGCCACTGACGCAGAGCAGGCGAGGCGTGAGGCAGCCGCTCATCTGAGCAGCGCCCATGGAAGCAGGGCCATGCTGGTGTACGTGCAGCACCCACGAGGTACCACAGGGATGAGCAGCCCCTTTCAGAGCCTGGAGACTGGCCCCAACAGAAGCAGAGAACAGGAGGGATTAAATCAGCAGGCAAAGGTGCGTTTGGGCAACAAGTGACCTGAGAGGGAAACGAAGGGCTTGGCTGGAAGCAAGAAGCCGTGGGAAGGTGCCGTACCACCCAGGGACATGCCGGTGGCCCACACAGACCCTTACCCCAAGGGGCTGCCTCTGGGTTGAAGTGATAAGGCTGTTACGAGCTGGCAAAGCGAGGGGATGGGCGAGAGGGAGGAGGTCAGAGCCCTTGGAGCCACACGGCCCCCGAGAACTACAAGCGGAGGGCTGAATTGCCAAGAGAAATTCACAGCCCTTGTCAGAGGCGCTGCCGGCAGCAGGAAACGGGGCTCCAGGGACGGTCCAGCCAGTGGCTTGGCCAGCGTGGGGCTGTGCCGGCAGCGAGGCGGCGGCGGGAGCGGTAGCATATGTGGGTCATCTGCCCCTGCATTAAGCTCCCTACTTTCTGAGAGTTTGGGATAGGTTTACACCCTGACGCGTGAGGCTTAATATCCCTTCCAGAATTTGTGTTGGCATCCGCTATTATAGCTGGATATTTTTGTTATCCCCATAAATGCCCAAACCTTCCTTGAATCCTGCTAAATTTTGGCCTGAGCATTTTCCTGTGGCAGCCTAATTAAGCAAGGAGTAAAAAAAAAAAAAAAAAAAAAAAAAAACAACAAACCAACAAAACCAGAACACTTCCTTTTATCCGCTTTGGATTCACCACCTTTGGGTTTGAAGGCATAGTCTCTTTGCACTGGTGCTCTGGGCCCCCTTGCCATGTTGTTGCATCCCTGTCCTGCATCTTGTGTTCTTGCCTCTGAGGGAGCAGCCCTGACGTTGCACCCCCTCTCCATCTCAAAGAGTTAACTGAGCCCTCTCGAGGTGGCCATTTTGGTGGGGTAGCCGGATGGCAGCGAGGATGGGACTGGTTGGAAAAGGCTGATAATAAATCAGAGATGATTTGGGCACTCGTGAATAACCTGCTGACTGCAAGGCTGTGAGCTGGGATGGTGAAGTGTATCAGTGACAAATTAAACTCGTCCTTCGGTGCAGAGTTCTTACTATATAAGGAGGATAAAAGCATTCGTAGCCGGAGCAGTAAATGAACATTCCTATTGTGTGTTTGGAAAAAGAAGTCTGGCACGCTAGTAACCACAATGAAATAATCCATCATTATTTCATCACCGAGTACAGCAAATGTTAAACAAAAGCGGTGGGTTTCTTTTGGAGGCCTGCAAGATTTAGCCAGGCTTCCATAAGGGCACTGAAATTCTGGGGGAGAGCAGCTCCTGGACTTGTGGAGGGACGCTGCCCCTGCTCCGCTGGGGACATGAGGGGGCATTTCTGGGATTTCTGTAGCCATACTGGTTTCCCAAAAAGAAGGTTAAGGCTGCCAGCCCACTCATGGCCTATGGGTATTTCAACAAAGGAGTTCATTGGGTAAATGCAGAGGAGGAGGAGGAGCGGAGTCAGGACACCCCTCAGCACGTTGCAGGGGGACCTGGGCAGTGCCGCAGCCTCCACGCTGAGGCTGTGCGTCAGGAGACGGGGCTGGTGGTTCCCCGCAGCTTGTTGGTCCTGCTCTTCCCCCACCTGGACGCTCTCCTTCCCCAACTTCTGCACCCCGGTGCCCCTCCCTGGCCCCAGCACACCCCATGGGGGGTCCGGAGCATTTCGGCCCGGCTCATCCTGGAGGGGCCTTGTAGCTTGGAAAGCAACAGCTGGAGTTGGACTCGGTGCTGAAAGGTTCCATTTAGGTCCCAAGGGATGCTGTGGCTGGGGGAGCTGACACCCTCTCTGGCTGCATTAGCTAGTGCATCCCAGGGGAGGTTTTGCCTCAGAGACTGAAAGGGGGCAGCCAGTTTTCATGCTCACATCTTGAGAGGACAACTGAGATCTGGGGAAGAGCCACAGAAATGTCTCGCTATAAATTCAGTCACTTTGATTTACAGAGGCCAACAGCAAGGACTGACTGCTTGTCCAAGCGTGCCGGTGAGGAGCAGTCACCACCCTGGAGCATCCCAGGACCCTGCAGAATGTCACATCCATGTCTCACCATCCCTCCAGCAGGACCCAGCCACTCCTGCCTTGCCTGGCTCTCGGGTTGTGGCTATGCAGGAGAAGAGCTGGGTGCTGCACCTCACCGAGGGCACAGCACTGCTGGCCTCTCCCAGCAAAAGGTGGGTGCTCCCTCTGCAGAGCTGCTGCTCAAGCCCCGAGTGCCAGAGAATGGGACCCTGTGGGTGGGCAGGGGAGAGCACCCACACCAGTGGGCGCTGGGATGGGGTGACAGCAGCCCACCCCAGCCCCACAGGAGGCACGGGGGTAATAAATGATGCTGGACAAGTTGACATCGGAAGGATCCGGGAGTGTTATAAAACCTGAATCTCCTGAGCCTTCAGCTGGGACTGCAGCTGCAGAGCAGGAAGCAAACAGGATCCCGGCTGGCATTGTGAAAGCAAACACCATAAATCCGAGGAAGTGCTGCGATTGCTGTTTTAGGCACAGGGGAGCTTGGCTCCTGCTCCCCGCGAGTGCTTTATTTTCTCTCAAACAAACAAAAAAAAAAAAAAAAAAAAAAAAAAAAGACACAACCCCAACTTATCACTGGTCCGCGCTGCTTTGGTGGCTCTGGATGTGGACACCTCTCCTCGCCCGGCGCCTTGCAGATGCTTCAAGTCCCAGAGCCCCACCAGCACAGGGTGCGGGCAGCATGCGGGCAGCATGCAGGTAGATGCTGACTCTGAGCTGTCTGCTCACCCAAACGTTCGCTGCTCACTGGAATGGCCAGACCTTGGGGAGAGGTGATCAGGGGGGTCAGAGAGAGCTGGGCAACCCGGAGTTGGAAAAGGCGACAAGAGGGGACAAAGGGCCACTGAGGGAATGACAGCCAGCTCCCTCTGTCCTCCATCCTGCAGCTGGTAAGCCAAATGGGATAGCTCCCGGAGGCTGGAAGTACACGTGGGATCAGAGCCAACCCCACCAGGACTAAAGCGATAAGACTGTTGCTCCAGAAAGGGGACAAAGCAGAGGGGACATCACGAAAACCTTCGCGTCACCTTACTCTGCAGGCTGGCTGCTGGCTGGCTGGAGCTTGGTGCCACCAGAGGAGCGTGGGCTGGGAGGCGTGCTGGCATGCCCTGCATCTCCCGCAGGTGTCCCCGGCCTTGGCACCCACTCCCTGACCCTCCTCGCAGGGGAGAACCGTTTCCACCCCACAAGTTGGGCGCAGTGTCTTGCAGGGGCCCTACAAGCCCCGGTTGGATGGTATCTGTGGGTCCCCAGCTGTGGAACAGGCTCTGCCCACCCCAGACTGGGTGTCTCCTCCCCACAGCTGGTGGCAGGCAGGGCTCCATGGTCCAGGCAGCCCCGTGCCATGGCTCCCCCAGGCTCTCACAAGGTCTCATTCTCCCTTGCTTGCCCCCATGCTCCCTCCCTCTCCATCATCCTTTGACACTCCTGGGACATTCATCCCAGCTGTGGCTGCTCTGTGCCAGGCCAGGTTTTGGCACCAGTGGGTTATCCACGCGTCCCTGCTGCCCTCAGCCCTGGCAGGGTGCTGGCACCCACCCTGGCACTCCAGCACCCCAGGTACCCCAGCAAGCTAGGTGTGCTGCAGCCCATGGCTCTGCCCAGGCTCCCCTCAAGGAAACGTGCTGGGAGGGCATGGGGTTTTTAGGAAAACAAGCCTTGGCACTTGCTGGCCATCCTGGGAAAATAAAAACATCCGGGCGGGCAGCCACGCAGCGAGTGCGAGAGGCCGGCACTCCATAAATCCCCTGGAGCAGGTGCTTTGTAGTCGGCACAAGGAAATGAGCACATTATTCAGCTCGGCTTAAACCCCGAAATGTTTCCTGTCCTGTGAGTCAGAAATAACCCTGGGAGATCATTCCTGGGCCATGCAGGAGCTGCACCAGCCAAAAAAGTGCCATGCGCCTGTTGGGTCTGGGGACCTGCTGGGGAGGTCAGGGATCCGGGCACCCCGTGGTGGAGGGGACTTTGTCACGGTAGCACTGTGTCACTGGCACTGACCCCAGCATGTAACTGCTCTGGGACGTGACGGGGAGCCCCTGGGGACTCCCAGACCTGTCCTGGGCACCCCGCTTCAGTGGGATGCCGGGACAAGGGGAGCCCCAGGAGGTGCTGGGACTTTCTAGGTCCTGGATGGATCCCACAGATCTTCTCCAGCTCTTCTCTTGGATCAGAAAAACAGATTCCCTCCTGCACCCTACATTGTCCCAGTGTATCACAAGCTGTTGGTTGGCATCCCATGGGAGCACCCTGAGGTGCTACCCTGCTTCAGGATCACCCTACAGGAAAATCCACGGATGGCTGGTGGCTTCATGGCAGAAGAGACCACCTGGTTGTGGGGCTGGGACCCCTCATACCACACTTGGGGGTCCCAGAGCAGATGGAGGGGAAAGCCATGCATCAGGTGCCCGCCGCGCAGCTCAGGCAGTGCCCACTTGAAGGCGGTCATGGGTGACATGTCCTGTCCTGGTGCCCTGCAAGGACACTTATAAGGTCCCACCGTGGGTCTGGGGCACGGAGAGGTGTGGGTGTCGGGGGTGGTGAGCACACCAGAACAGCCCCTGCCCTGGAGCAGGGGAGATGACACAGCCGCCACATTACCCACATTTCTTCCTTTAAAATGTTTGCCTCTGCTCCGCTTTTTTCTGCTATTGGCACACAAACAAACCCCAGACCCAAACAAGGAGTCCTTCGGGTTTCCCAGACAGCAGGAGCACAGGAAGCCCATACGTGCAAAGCCCACCCTGCGTGCCTGAGCCCATCCCTGTGTGATTTCATGCCCACCTGGCCAAAGCCACCCTAACCTTCTGGAGATGTTCCTCTCCTCTTTGTGGTGGGATGGCTTCTCCAGCACTGGGAATGGAGAGCCCAGCAGGACCCTGGCTCCCGCTTGGATGGAGATGGGGACCCTCAGTGGTGCCTTCTTCATCCATCCCTGTCTTCTTCCTGTGCTCCCCCTCCGCAATTCCATTCACAGCCCCCAGTCTCCGTCAGGATGGGGCTGTCGCCCATCCGTGCTAGATGTCCCCGTGACCCAGTGCCAGACGTGCCCTGTCGTGGCTGTGCTTGCACAGATCCTTCACCTGGCCCTGGCAGAGACAACTGCGCCACAGGCACCCACGTGTGGCTCCTGCCATGCTCTTTACAGCCTCCTCCCGAGGCTGACAGGCTTCTGGCCCTACACTCAGTGCAGAGGTGAAGGAGCTTGGCAGGGCCCTGCAGCCCGCTAGCTTGTGTTGGTGCACCCCAGGAGGTGGAAAAACATTTCTTAGCAATTAAACAGTCATCAGCTTTGGAGACCTGGGGCTTGGTTTTTCTTGCTGGGGACATGGAAGACAAGATGGGAACCTCATGAGCATGAGCTCCCTGGGACAGGTGGGCACAGCTGCGCTCTTGGTGCCCATCATGCCCTGGTGCAGTGCGAGGACCACTATGGGCCACCATGGACTGCCATGGACCACCACAAACCACCATGGACCACCACAGTCCACCATAGATCTCCATGGAACTCTGTGGACTGCCATGGATCACCACAGACCACCATGGACCTCCACAGATCACCATGGACTATCATGGACCACCGTAGTACACTGTAGAGCACCATGGAACTCTGTGGACTGCCATGGACCACCACAGACCACCATGGACCTCCACAGATCACCATGGACTATCATGGACCACCGTAGTACACTGTAGAGCACCATGGAACTCTGTGGACTGCCATGGACCACCACAGATCACCATGGACCTCCACAGATCACCATGGACTATCATGGACCACCGTAGTACACTGTAGAGCACCATGGAACTCTGTGGACTGCCATGGACCACCACAGACCACCATGGACCTCCACAGATCACCATGGACTATCATGGACCACCATAGTACACTGTAGAGCACCATGGAACTCTGTGGACTGCCATGGACCACCACAGTCTGTCATAGACCACCACAAACTATCATGGACCACCATGGATGGCCATGGACTGTCATGGACCACCCCAGACCACCATAGACCATCATGGACCATCATGGATGGCCACGGACTGTCATGGACCACCCCAGACCACCATGAATCACCATGGACCACAACAGTTCACCATAGACCATCATGGACCTCTGTGGACTGTGATGTAGTGCCACAGACCACTGTGGACCAACACAGACAGCCACAGACCACCATAGACTGTTATAGACCACCATTGGACCACCACAACCCACCATAGGCCATCATGGACCTTGCTGGGCTGCCACAGACCACCATGGACTTCCATGGAGCACCACAGACTACCAAGACCAGGGTGCTGGGCACAGTCCTGCAGAAAGAAAACTCAGCTCCAAGACGTGGGATGCCAAGCGCAGAAAGACTAAAACTCAGCGTTAGACTGGGGAATGGAGAAGGTGAGATGGAGTTACAGAAACCCTAAAGCATGGTGACCCCCAGCCCCACGTGCTCCAGGGAGCAGGCTGAGGGGACAGCAAGGGTACCAAGCCCCCTTGGTTCCTCTCCCCCCGTGTGTACTTGTGGTGGGGGTGCCCTGGTCCGACAAGGGTCGCAGAGCTGGGGCAGCCTCCCCACGTGCCCCACGGCTGCCAGGGTGCCCCAGCTTGTAGCCAGTGTCTCCCATTGTACGGGTGTGGGGTGCACGGTGTACAGGCAGCGGTGACCAGGCCCCCTCTGCTGGCATGCACACGCAAACACGGGGTGCCCCAGCACACACGGCCCCCCCAACCACCCCATGCTGCCCCCACGCTCCCTCCACCCTCCTCTGCTTTTTTTTCCCCCTCCTCTCTTTATTTTATTTATTTATTTATTTATTTATTTTTTGGTCGTTGCCTCTGCTACCCACACCCTGCCTGCTGCAGGCAGGGAGAAGCCAGGTCGGAGAAGGCTTTTTCCACCCAGGGTGCTGCCAGTCCCTTTGCCCCCCGCCCCGGCGCTGGACCCTGGACTGTGCCACCAGGTGACCCCAGGCTCAGAGGTGCCACTGTGGCTCAGGACACAAACCCCGGGGCTGGGCTGCCCGGCGTGGGGGCACGTGGAGGGCACAGAACCTCGCACCATCAGCGCCCCGTGACCTCTCCAACAGCAGGAGTGATTTCGCAGAGTGGGTCCCCCGCGGGACCACCACCGACCTACCGCGCCCAGCCCCACACCCCACGGAGAAGCTCTTCCAGACCCTTCCATCTTCTCCTTCCTCGCCGATACTCGCTGCTGGTTGGATTTCACTGTCCTGCAGCAGCGCCGTCCCCTCCCCAGCTCAGGCACTGCTGCCAGCTCTGTGCCGCAAGTGGAGCGGGGTATTTATAGCCGGCAACCCAATCCCCCCGGCTCGGGTGAGCCAAGCTCTGTGACCCCACAGCGGGAAGGACGTGTCACGCATGGAGGGGACACCTGCAGTGGCACTGGCAGGGACAGAGAGAGGGGCTTTGATCCCCGGCAGCCCCAGTTGCAGGGGGACCCGTGCCGGGGCACCCAAGGGTGCCAAGCCCGCAGCTCTGCTCTGCTCTGGTGACCTGTCCCAAATCCCAGGAGGGGACAGGGACACCCTGCCCACTGTTCGGCTCAGCCCCTCTCACGCATCCAATCCCCGGGGGACCTTGCAGGGCCAGTGGTACCCGCAGGTCCCCCCCGTGCAGCCACCGGACTCCCCCTGAGCTCCCCCCAACACGCAAGAAGCCACCCCCCCACCCTCCCCCCCGTGGCTCTGAGACGTGCGGCAGTGGCTGTCAACACACACCCACCCCCCCACACACCTACCCCCCCCACCCCCCCACCTCCCTGCCTGACGGGATCAGGCAGCAGGCTGGGAATGCGAGGAATGCACCGCAGGCACGCTGCCCCTGCCGAGCCCCCCCCCCCCCCCCCCCCCCCGCGCCCCACAGAGGCCCCCTCTCCAAACACAGAGCATCTCTGTCCCCCCCCAGGGCTGGAGCAGCTCTCCCCCCCCGCCACGGCAGCCGGGGCTGGCGTCCCCCTCGGGTCCTTCCCCAAATCCCCGCGAGGACTGGCAGCCCCCCTCTACCCGGGCTATCCCACCCCCATGGCATTCTGAGGGGTTTGCGCAGGGTTCTCTGCCCCATAGCCAGCCCTTGCCCTTGCAGTGCTCCCCTGTGCCCCACGGGCTGTTCCCCCCGCACTCTCTGCTCCCCTTGCAGCCCCCCACCGTCCTACCCCCACCACCCCACAGGCCTGAGTACCATAGCACAGGGGTTGGAGCCCTAAAACCCGCTGTGGTGACATGTCCGCTGCCTCCAGCGCCCCAGCATCCCCCTGCCCCTGGACCCCCCCTGCTTGCCCACCCCCAGCCAGGCCATGTGTGGAGCAGGGACAGGCAGCGAGGGACACCAGATCCCTGTGGCACGGCTCCCCACTTGCACCCTCCACTGCTGGGGGGGACATCCTGGGTGTCGGGGACATCTGGATCCCCCGGGCACCCTGCTTCTCAGGGCCTGACTTCCCAATTGCCCCCCTGCACCCCAAATCCCCAGGGACCTCCCCAGCATCCTACCTCCCCCCGGCCCCAGTGGGGATACCCACACCCAGGGCACTGGATGTCCCCCCGAAGGGGGCACCCAGATCCCAGTCACCCCCTC